AAAATATTTCTAGAAAGGAGGCGCTTACAAACGTGTTGCAAAAACAAGCTCAGAAATCAAAAATTCCAATTCCCGTTAAATTACTATCACAGTTAGCTTACAATGATAGCAAACGAAATGAAAATATTTCTAGAAAGGAGGCGCGTACAACCGTGTTGCTTAAACAAACTCAGAAATCCAAAATTCCGATTCCCGTTAAACTTCCATCACAGTTAGCTTACAAGAATAAGGACGAATCAACCACTAAACTGAAACTGCCAACACTGTTACCAAACAACAATATAAAACACATTAATAAATCATCCTCCAATCAACTAAAACTACCACCATTGTTACCAAACAAAAATATGAAATACGTAGACGAATCTTACCCCGATCCTCTGAAATCACCACCATTGCACCATAACAAGAAGATAAAATCCTGCTTGGAACCTCTGAAACTACCACCGTTGTTGCCGGGTCGACAGCAAAACTGCAAGGAAGAAAAATCCTTCACTAATCGGTCTGTAACACCACAAATGCTTCAACCTTTAAAGATGTTACCACAAAACATGAAAAGGTCTATAATCATTAATAAGGTCAGGGACGAACAGGAAGAGAAAAGCAGAGCCATGTCATTGAAATCGAGGCCTAAACCAGTCTCGCGACAGACTACTGAGACAACGGCTTCTTTTGAAACTTTAAACGTAGGCTCAGAATTAGCTTTGGATATGATAAGCGGGGACAATATGCCCCGTGAAAGAAACTACCGATATTCCAGGCTACAAAAGGCATCGACTAAAGATTGCTCTATCCCTAGGGGTCCAGGTGATAAAGTCAGCAAAATCATTTACGAAAAATTCTTTAACACAAGAATAGAAAATACGAAAGTCGAGAAGCAAATAGAAAGAGAAAAATCAGATAGCTACCCAGAATCCGACCAATATCGTACTACTCTTGATATAGAAGTCGCTGATAAATATGCGGAAGAAGACACTTTTGAAAATCTTAACGACCATCATTCTAGAACTGTTCAAGGCGTAGATAGTCCCGTGAATGATACGACAAAACAATCTGATTGGCAATTTTTAAACATCGGCTCCGAAAGAGAAATTAAGACACGATTTCTGCCTATGCCACCTAAAACACCTAAACCAAAAACATCAAACTCTAGACTAAATAAATACAACAGGAAACAAATATGATTATGATTATACATGTAGCATTTTACCAGAAACTTAAACAATGATATTCTGATTGTGTTCTATCAATAGAAGATCTGTGATGCACACATGTAAACCAGTTGGGATAGCTTACGTACGTGAAACAGTTGTGTTATAAGGATTCATCTTTTATTGTACATGTCATGTAAACAGGGACTTTCCTAATCTGTTTGAAGCAGCAATTAATGACAAAAAGGGCTGAAACAAAGATGAAGGACCAACTAAGTGAATGGGAAGCATATATAGTGTGGTGGCATATAAATCAACTCATTAACTATAATTTTAAGCAAGCTGAAACAACGAAGAACAAATATATACCTTTTGGATTCTAACAGAGTCATAACTGAAGGGAATATAAAAGTTTTTAAAAGCCTAGAATCGACAGAAACACGATTTCTGTATTCCTTAAGTGGTAACTTAAAACCAAACACTTTTTCAAAATTTATATATTTATATATTTGGTATTGGGTGCAAAGATACTAGCCAAAAGACAATTTATATTAATGACCCTAATTTGCAGTATAAATGGTTCCGGGTTATAGCTAGTTGGAGAGGTTGGTGTGTTTTAGATTCCAGTATTTGCCATTAAAAATAGATTAAATATTAGTAATAACAACAAAACAACAATCAGCATAGACCTAACGTAGTTTTGGACTCGAACATCAGTACATACTACTGTTCCATTTGTTTTACTGTATAGTAGTAACTATAAATAAATATGTATGATATTATTTTATTTGTTTATATTCAACAAGATCATTTTCTATTAACTAGTTAGGTCAGTGACATAACTAGCAAATAACTTATCAACAGGGGTTTTTGGAACCGCACAAGACTGATCAAGACTCATAGAAGTGCTAAACTAAATGATAAAAAAAACTGTTATCTGAAAATCAATATTAAGTCGAGCATACATTTAAATGTATGCAATTCATCACTAGTTAGTGAAGGACGTCAAACCATAATGCACGATTCTTACAGTCTGGCCACTAAAAAGCAAGTAAAGATACTAATTTTAGAATAGTAAGGAACACGTGCTATTAAAATTCCCTGTCTCAAGTCTCATCGGCAGCGACACCTGAACCTCAATGAAATAACAAACGTCGGATCAAAAATTATGACGTCAGTGGTTTATACGATTCAACGTCACAGTTTGAAAGCAGGTCACGGTTTGACCTCAAGTATATCAGCAGCAATAGAGTCACGTGACATTGAAAATTCGAATTGAAACTACGAATGAGACAAACCTCATTTTTTCTATATATATAAATAATATACAAATCATGATAAAAACTTACTGTATAAAATAATTTTAATAGATATAAGATGTGGTATGAGTGCCAATGAGACAACTCTCCATCTAAGTCACAATATGTAAAAGTAGACCATTATAGGTTAAAGTACGGTCTTCAACACGGAGCCTTGGCTCACACCGAACAGCAAAGTATATATAGTTTTCACTCGTCAAAATTTACGTATCAACTGAAAGTCCTTCTTTTTTAAATTTATATTCAAATCTGAACTGAAGTTTTCAATTTCGTGTGTTTTTGTCCATGATGATCACATGATCCATATGTTCATTATATTGTCAGATTTGTATTATATACTGCAGCTATCTCCTGAACATGCATGACATATTTGCCACTGGACGTTAATCAACCAACAATCAATCAATCATATACTGCAGCTGTGTAATTTGCGTAGACAAATTTCATTGACCGTATATTCATTTGTAATATACAGTCACTGACCGTATATCGCCTTGTTTTTATAAAAAAAAATGTGTTCTGGACAAGTTTGGTCATTTAAATACACATTTTATTGTAACTTAAATATCAAAGTATAATTAATCATTATTTAACTTCATGACATTGACTGGATAGGATCTAAATAATCATCACTTCACTGCACTATTTTGTTTGAACTATCAAAGGTGAGGGGCCTGATGGGTTATTTTCTTTCTTCGTGATCGGCGCATTTTCGCTCTCGTGATCCGTTTTTCTACAGATTTATTTTTTTTTTATATTTTCGTGATCCGTGATCATGGAAATTTATTTTCTGTAAATCGTGATTGACAAAAAAATCAACTCGTGAATCGTGATGAGACCCCCACCATCAGGCCCCTCAAAGGAACCACCACACTATATAATGATACACCTTGGAAAATATAGATATCAAGTCGTTACCACCGGGTTTTGATTGCACTTTATGCAATCTTTATCCAATCATTCAGACGAAGAAATGAACTTAAGATGCAATTATAGTAGAACATCTTTTCAAGTCATTCTGGAGCAGAAGATACAAAAGTGGGACAGAAGGACGAACGAATGTATGAAAGAACGAAAGGGTTCGTAGTTTTTTTGCTTGTCATCATGAAATTTAGGGAGCTACCATTTGATTTTTATGGGGGGGGGGGGGGGGGGCTAGGATGAAATTTGAAAAAAATAGGCAGGACAGGAGTTTTGAGTAAAAAAAAAAAGGCAGGATGAGACACTTTGCAAGAAAAAAAGGCAGGATGACAATTTATGTAAAAAAAAGTCAGGATAAACTAAAAAAAAAAAAGGAGGCAGGACCGAATAGAGTGAAAAATAAAAGGGCAGGACAGAGATTACAACTAAAAAAAAATGCAGGACAAAATTTTTCATTAAGGCTTGTCTCTGCTGTTAGAATTGCTCTTTTATATATATTTATTTACTGATCTCTTGTTTAGGGCAATAATCAAATCTTTCTCCACCCCCAAACTCAATCCCAGCCTTCCCTTTGTGGTATGGTACCTTGCAGTACAATTTCAGAGAGATCTGTACACTTGAACACAAGTTATTGTATGGAAACTAGAAAAATGCTTGTTTTTTGGCCCCAAATTCCTAATTATATATATAAAAATTTAGGGCAATTACCCCCAAACTCAAACCCAGCTTTCCCTTTGTGATATGGAACCTTGTAGTACAATTTCATAAAGATCCATACACTTACACACAAGTTATTGTCCTGAAACTAGAAAAATGCTTGTTTTTTTGCCCCTTTTTGGCCCCTAATTCCTAAAATTTTGAGGCAATTATCCCCAAAATCAATCCCCGTCTTCCCTTTGTGGTATGGTACCTAGCAGTACAATTCAGAGAGATCTATACACTTGAACACAAGTTATTGTCTGGAAACTAGAAAAATGCTAATTTTTGGCCCCTTATTCCTAAACGTTTAGAGCAATTACCCTTAAACTCAATTCCAGTTTTCCCTTTGTGATATGGAACCTTGTAGTACAATTTCAGAGAGATCCATACACTTACACACAAGTTATTGTCATGAAACTAGAAAAATGCTTGTTTAGCCCCTTTTTTAGCCCCTAATTCCTAAAATTTGGAGGCAATTACCCCCAAAATCAATCCAAGCATTCCCTTTGTGATATGGAACGTTGTGGTACAATGTCAGAGAGATCCATACACTAACACACAAGTTATGTCTAGAAGTTACAAAAATGCTTATTTTTGGCCCCTAATTCCTTAACTGCTGGTACCATAACCCCCAAAATCAATCCCAACATTCCTTTTGTGGTATTGAATCTTATGGTAAAATTTAATAGAGATCCATTCACTTAAACTAAAGTTAGAGTGCAAAAACCAATGTGTCTTCGGACGACAACGACGACGAGGACGCCAACATCATACCAATATACGACCGCAAAAAAATGCAAAATTTTTTTGTGATCGTATAAAAATTGATTTATTTTCAACTTTCAAAAATAAATCTCTTCAGAATGAACTTTCATTCCTAATCAAATTTAAGATTGTAAAAACAAACATATTTTATTTGATGGAGATTTATTGTTTCTTGTAACGTACAGATCCTCTGAAAATAAAATTGCTGTTTGCACAAAACAAACCAAAAACATATAATATTAATATCACAGCCAAAATATATCATCTCACAACAAGAATTATGTTAGGTACAATCATGAACAATCGAAATAGCATTGTACTCAAATTAAAATCATAATAAATGCCATTTCTGTCACTTTGACAATGTTGAGGGGTCTTAGATTTGGCAAACATATGGAAATAACAAGGTTAATGAGGATGGTTAATCATTATCTAAACAAGAATGTGTCCATAGTACACGGATGCCCCACTGGTACTATCATTTTCTATGTTCAGTGGACCATGAAATTGGGATCAAAACTCTAATTTGGCATTAAAATTAGAAAGATCATATCATAGGGAACATGTGAACTAAGTTTCAAGTTAATTGGACTTCAACTTCTTCAAAAACTACCTTGACCAAAAACTTTAACCTGAAGCAGGACAGTATCAATTTCTATGTTCAGTGGACCGTGAAATTGGGGCCAAAACTCTAATTTGGCATTAAAATTAGAAAGATCATATCATAGGGAACATGTGTACTAAGTTTCAAGTTGATTGGACTTCAACTTCATCAAAAACTACCTTGACCAAAAACTTTAACCTGAAGTGGTACAGACAGACGAACTAATGGACGAACAAAAACAGATGGACGAATGAACGGACACAAAGACTGAAAAACATACTGCCCCTAGATGGGTCATAAAAATATATAGGGTTTAAAGGCATTGTATCTTAAAAATGTTGTAGTTTTATAAGACATAATATATGACAAACAAAGTACAGATATAGATAGTAGTCCTACCTGTGAAAATGTAAAAATAATAAATTTGTATATTATTAAACTTAAAGGGGCATTAGCTACAAGATATATAAAAAAAAAAAATATGATGTTTTTTTTTTGTTCAATCATTAATGAAAGTGAAATAGTGATATAACAATTCGCTTTTAGCAGCCAGTTTGGTTCAATTTTGTCAAAATAAGCTAAGAAACATCGCTGATGAATTATTCACTTGCAAGTGAATAATTCAACCTTGTTGAATCCGCATTCATGTGATCTTTAATTTAACCACTTAGATAGAGATGTATTACATATAAACGAGGTGTGTTCAGCTATTTAAAAGGAAAAGAATGTCAACATTGAAAGCGAAATAAGGGTAAACTATATAGTTTACTGATTCCATCCACAAAAACTAATTCTTATACAGGTAAAAATGATGATTAACATATTTTTTAACCTTTGATATGAATTCAAACAGACCTAGAAAAATCCAAATGCACATGTTCACTATCTATTTATATCTATTATGTTTATATCAGGTGATAAGGCCGTCTGCAGTCTTCTGCGGTCCCCTTGATGGTTATTTAGATGGTGTCTAGAATAAAATATATATGAAATGCTGATACATATTATCAAATACATGCATCGTAAATTGTTTATTTTAGACCTTTATAATTTGGAAAGATGTTTTGGTATGTTATAAATCAAATATGAGAATTTGAGTCAAATCGATGAACATGAATTTGACAGCTAATGCCCTTTTAAATACTTGCCAAGATAAACCATATTCCTTTTTTTTCAAAAACCTGTCAACTTTCCAGATTTATTAAGGCTTTCCACAAATGAGAGGTGTTGACCTGACTTTTAAAATCCTTTTGAGAAAGGCAATTAAAAATCCAATTATTCAATATTTTTTTGCCATATTTACTTGCATTTTAAAATTTGTACTTTTATTTACTAATATCAGTTTGTTTTATCTCAGAAAGTATAAAGAGATCCCTAGCAAGCCAACACTTGGAGTGATACTATCTATGCATTTATCATATATGAAACTCCATAAGAGGGGGGGGGGGGGGGCTCTGTAAAAATCATAAAATTGGCAAAATGAATAATAAAATCTGTGTATGATGTATATATCATGTAAGCATGTTGTCCCTTTATTTTACCTGGGGAAGGTAGGCACTTTTTTTTAGACCCCAACCAATTTTACATACAATTCTTACAAAATTCAAGTGCAACCACCTACATTTAATTAATTTGAGTGTTTCCCATCCCCATCAATTTTCAAACAACCCTTATTATTTATACTGTATGGTATAACAATTACTTCGTAAAAATATTTTTATAATCATATATGATCTTCAAATTCACACTTGCATATCAATTTGGTTTGACACAGCATTTAAAACTAACTTGGTTTTACAGATAACAATAAATACTTAATTATGCACACTTGAGGTGGTACCTAACACTACAGGGAGATAACTCTATAAAATCAGCTAAAAGTTTTAATCACATTGTATTGTTAAGGAAATATTAAGCTTCTCAATGATCAAAATTAGTGTTTGTCAAACTGCTATATATCCAATGAAAATTTTCCGAGAAAGTGTTTGGTTCAAGTTTTTCGAAATTTTTATATTTTTGTCTCAGAGTCAAAGTAAATATTTTGTCAAAATTTTATGATATTAAACGAGCCAAATTAATTTTAGTCAAGGTGCTTGGTACCACCTTAAATTTCTATAAAATAAAATGTTTCCTTACTGTAACATACATGTATATGCAAAGGGGTTGGTGACCTTCAAGATTTTATCGAAAACATCTGAGTATCAATAACTAATAATTACAATACATCTTCTTATTTATTTGTTTCATAAGAATCCATACTTTTTTGTAATTTCATGGGGTTGTGCATATTTCTAAAATGAAGCGTGGTAATTCAAATGTGCTTCAATTAACACTTTTACACTCCAATGAAATTACAAAAAGAAGCATTCAATAACAACTACAAATACAACTGTTTTTGTTTTTTTTAAGATATGTGGCAAAGTTGGTTTGAAAAACAGTATATAGGGGTTAAAATATGCATGGTAGTATGAACAAAAGAATAGCATTAAAATCATATGAAGTTAAATTATGATTTCCTGATAATATGTTCTATGAATTTTCTTAAAAAACTATATGTCTTGAAGCCAAAATTTCTGCTTTTTAATTTATGAAAATATTGATCTTTTTAGTGATTTTTTATGCATACTATAACTTTTATTTCTATCTTCCTGAATTCATAATTGAAAAGCATCACTGAAAGTACAAATGCCATTTTTTAATCTTCAGGTGTTAGTTTAAAGTTTCATGTAAAATTACTAATTGATCCCAAAAATATCCCATCTATATTTACCTTATAATTCAGCAGTTTGGTATGACACATTTATAGTTAATGCATAATATAGCACAACAATAGTGAATATCTGTAAACCAATAACAAGTTTTTCTCTAATAAATAATTTTACAATTTAGAAATATTCATATTTACTATTAAGGCCACTTTTGACTGGTAAGTACATACAATTTAAGCAAAATTCAGACAAAATATATCCAACTTTGCAAAAATGAATTGAACATACTGAAATATTTAAATTCACAATTATTATAATGATTTTAGAACTTACTATTTAATGGGTACTTTCAATTTGCTTTTCCGTTAAAAATATTTCTAACTTTGCAAAAAATAGTTGTACATACTGAAACATTAAAATTCACAATTATATTGAGATCTTTATTTATAAAATGTAGACAAATTAAACTATTTTTATAACATTTAATGGGTACTTCAACTTCATTGTTTGGAAGCATGAAAAACCAAAAAAAAAAAAGGGAAACTGAATAAATAATATTTATTTCGTAAATAATTAAATACAACTGACAAATTTCCTCTTTTTTAAAAGTTCGGGTTGCTGCCTTCCTTTTTGTCCATAAATTATCTATGTTTACCTGAAATCTACAGATAAACTAAAAACTTCAAATATAAACTGATCAATAGTGATAATCTTTTAAATACAAAAAAACTGTAAAAAATTCTAACAATTATAAATAGCACCCTAATTTACACGTGTATCATACTTCATGAATGCCCTTATTTTTTTTATCTAAAGCACTATTTTCAAGAAGAATTTTCTCAGTTTTATCTGTATCTTTTTCTGTCAATAATTGATTTTGTTTTGCCCAAAGATCACAATACAGACTATTTGGGTTAGATAAAAGTTCATAGTGTGTCCCTTTCTCAGCTACACTTCCATTTTCTAACACTAAGATCTGATCAGCATCGACTACTGTTGAGAGTCTATGAGCAATTACAATTGTGGTATGTTTTTTGGTAATCCTCCTCAATGCCATCAGAATATCCTGTAATATATATGTAATGTGGAAATGCATATATTCTGTGTAATATATATGTAATGTGGAAATGCATATATTCTGTGTAATATATATGTAATGTGGAAATGCATATATTCTAAGAATATATATCAATGAGTACACAGATGCATATTTTTGTGCATACATAAATTGCACTGTTATACAGTGAAACCTGTCCAAACCGAACACCCTCAGAACTTGGTGTTTTGTTCAGTTTCACATGTGTTCGAATTGTAGTGATAAACGGAAGTGGATAGTTTAAAATAATTTTGACAGACTAACGACGAACACAAAGTGACACAACAGATGCAGATAAAAATAGTAATACAATGCTAGTTCAGTGGTCAAGCTCCTTATTAACAAATCAAAAATGTTGGTATGGTTTATGTTAGATCCTGGTATTAAAGTGATATTCCTGCAAGTCTACATCGTTGTCTGATTCAATTAAGTTTCCCCCCCCCCTATAAAATTCACTGTGTAAGTCAGATTCCCAATTCCTGTCAAATCTCGATTCCATAGTTTAATGGTCATCAAAATCGGGTTTCAATTATCTGCACACTCAATCCTCTGAACTGTTGAACTAAATCAGATAACAGAATGGCATCATCTGGGTATTCAGACTCATCTGCATTTGATGGGGTCTTTAAAGGGAATCCCAAATTACGTAAACATTGACAGTGTTCCAGCTTGAATCTCAGGGCAGAAGGGTGCTAGTTGTCTGAAAGGGCACTTTAGCGTAATAACCCAGATTGTAAGGGCACTGTTGGACAGTGTATAAATTACCTTGAATATTGTTAGGCTCAGCTGGAGAACATTAGTTGTATTTAAACCATATTCAGAAATTAATGTGTTCTTGATGTTGGTTCCAGTAAGAATTTTTTTATCAAATTATCATACCATGAAGCAAAGCATATCATTTTTATGTTAATCTAAGCAAACTTGTACATTTGGTTAGGAAAATAATCATCAGAAATTTCAATGTTTTATAACTTATACCAGTCTATAAAAATAAACAAGTAGTTTTGAAAGATGGAGTTATACATGCAAAATTGAATGTTTAATCAATTAAATTATCTACATTTAAATTGCTTGATCAATCCCCCTATAGTATATTGTTATTAAAGTTATTTATTATCATTTCAATTGTTACAAAAAAGTATTTTTAAGTGCACACCAAAGTGCTCCTAAGTAAGGAGTTTTAAAAATATAACAGGTGAGACAGGAGATGATCATATTATATTGATGCAATAATATATTGCATATATTGCAGAAGGTATAAACAGTTACTTTTTCTCCATCATTGTTAAAAATAAAAGCATTTGTGGAGTGCTCCTATAAAAGGAGGATTATAAAATACAAGAAGTAAAACAGGAAGTGGTGCAATCTTGTTATGTTCAAAGTACAAATTTCTTTGATTCTTCTTTAAAAATCATACTCATGGTTATGAAACAAAACATTTTACCAATTTACTCAAAACTGTGTATGCCTTTAAAATTGTTTTAGATTTTATTTTTTATGTTATGCCTACTGAAATAAATTTTTTCAGGTGTACGTGCTGTACATAAACATTACAAATGGATAACATGTGGACATTTAATTCTGTATTAAATATCTAGTATTTGTTCAATTATCTTAAATCCACTAATTAGCAGTAAACAATCATTAACAAAGGTGATAAAACTGCCAAAGGCATTAGGTATTTAACTTAATCCCATTGTCAGTTAATTAGTGTTACACAATCAGGTAACAATTTTACCGGAAACGCCGATAGGCATGACATTTGGAAATTTTATTTTTTTGAAAAGGCAGAGGGGTGCATTCTTTTGCTTTGGAGGGCAGAAGGGCGGGGGTAAGGGCACCAAGGGCGGGCCGCCCTTCTATTTAGGGCAGGCGGGAACACTGATTGAACATGGAGTATATCTTTACATTTGAGAATTTCACAAACAGTAGTTAATACCGATCCTATATTTCAAAATAAGATAATTTTGTGAATAATTTGAAATTGACTCCCGATCTGTAATTATTTCCAATTTGTATCAAAGAGAAAGTCCCATTCTTGCCCTTTTCAACTATGAAAATGTTTATAAATTTTATCAATTTCAAGTTTCACAGGTTTCACTGTATACATGTATATATACATATGAATTAAAACACTTTTGGCGAGCAAGCGTACATACCCCATGCCCCCCACACAAAGAGAAAATATTGTACTGATGGCAAAGCTTACTATGTTGTACGCATCTATCCTATCGAACTTAAAATAAAGGATACACTAGATACACTAAAGTCTACCTCATATCTTGACTAAGTCTACCTCATATCTTGACTAAGTCTACCTCATATCTTGACTTACATCTAGAAATTGACAATGAGGGTCAGTTGAGAACAAGACTTTTCGACAAAAGAGATAATTTCAGCTTCCTAATTGTGAACTTTCCATTTCTATGTAGCAACATTCTGGATGCTATCACGAATTAGTTGACCATTATGGAATATCTGTTTAACAGATGTTGACAAATATGTTCCAATTGTTGTAACCACAATCAAGTCCTCTTTTCCTCGAATGACTTACTGAATAAGATTTATCACCGGGTTTGTACTTACATGAGCAACACAACGGGTGCACATGAGGTTCAGGATTTGCTAATCCTTCCAAAGCACCTTCACATCTTAATAAAAATGTGAACTAAGTTTTAAGTTGATGCTAGAACGGAGGCATGGGAAGTCTTTGGGAGATGTATCAAATACTTGCTGTTACTTATAGTCAAGTTCAAAGTACTTAGCATTTATCGATAAAATCATTTCTTTCATTTAAATTAAATGATAAAAATCATTCCTGAAATAAAATACAATTTTACCTGCTCTGTAATGGTGTCCAAGGACGACGTTGCCTCATCATATACAATGATAGGGGGATTCTTTAGTATAGCTCTTGCTATTGCTACTCTCTGCTTCTCACCACCTTAAAACATAAATTGTTACATATCTTACATAAATAGTTTTTCATAAAATAACCTGCAATTTGGACTTTCATTATGTCATGTATGTGCCTTTCCCAAATGAATTGTGATAGTGAACTATGAATAAAAATTTCAGTTATTTAAAAAACAACACTTTTAATTTTCCTTTTGCAAAAAATAAAATTAAGGCCACACCAAATTAATACCTCGTTCGTGGGATCCCCCGCGTTTTGTGATAGGTCGACGAGAAAAAAGTAATTTTTTTTAAAACCTGCATCCATTACGGATCTGCGCACGTCTGTCTCTAAATTTATGTAACAAAAATTTTAATTAGTTCTGCGTTTGAAAGAAACGCCTTACAGACACGGAAATTGACAACAAAAACGATCTAGATCTAACATTCACAACATTTTATGGCCAAATATAATATGATATATATTCAAAACGTAAGACATGAGTGGAATATTTGTAGTTACAGTGAAAAAACCTTACTGCCAAACACAGCAGTGGAATGTGATTTGGACAATTCTTTTATCGATTTGTTTGAAGTGCTCCGTGCAAGACCACAACGCTCCATCGCCACGGAATTGAAAGACCATCAAATCATGACAATATGACATTCATAAGAATAAAACAAAATCCCGGAGATGATGGTACATGCATTGAAATGGCACCGCAATGAAACTATTATATTTTGTACTCTTTTTTTTTATCTTTTACAATAAAATGTTTTTTTCCTTGAATCTTTTATTTATATTTGCTAGTATCATTTAATGAATACAAAGTTATAAAGCATGGAATTTGACAAGGAAGTTTTTGTGGTAATTGAATATAACACATCAATCCAACTTTACAATTTACAAAATCTTCTAAAAATAAGAATATGTATGATTTTCAATGAGACAAACTTCCACTAGAGTCCAAATTTTTTGAAGTTTGCAACCAGTAAAATTAACTGTAAGGCCTTCAACACAGAGCAATATCCCCATATACATAAATATTTGATTACTAGTAAATTCTTCAGCAAAGTAATGACTAAGTGGACTGTATTTAAATGTTCCTTTTATTTAATTAGTATATAGCATCTGGTGTGATGCATTTGAATACTAAGTAGTATAAATTGATGTGGTTTTTGAAGGACAGCCCTTTTTAAATTTTCAGCCTGTTGAATACACAAATATGTAGTTCTCTGGTTGTCGTTGGTTCATGTCTGTCATATTTGTTTATCGTAAACTGTTTTGGTATGAATTAGGCCGTTAGTTTTCTCAATTGAATTGTTTCATATTTTTCATGTCAGGGCCTTTTATAGCCAACTGTACGGTATGGATTTTCTCATTGTTGAAGGCTGTACGTTGCCTATAATTGCATACATCCACTTCATTTGAACCTTGTTGGATAGTTGTTTCATTGGCTATCATACCACATTTCCTTATTTTTATAACACATCAATTATAACTTCCATCAAACATGGATGTCTGCCTGTTCAAAGCTGTTGCACTTTTTCATGTTCAGGCAGGATCTTTATTTGAGCAGACTACCCGAGTTTGTAGGTTTTGCAACTAGTTAACCATATTTGTACTGAAAATGTTGTGAAAAGAATTCAACAGGGTGTCACAGAACAAATTGATAAGCAAAGTAGGGTAATATAAGTACTAGGATATGAGATATATAAAAACATGAAGCACCAAAACGTGTAAATTTCTGATCGCTCGCTTGCATAAAATGCTTTTCAATGATTATTTTTTTTTTAAATATCAAAAATAATAGCGCTAGCTAGTAAAAAATTCTTTCGAATGCCAAAAATCAAACTTGGAAAAAAAAAAAACAAATAAAAAAATTTCGCTCGCTCGCTACCCTTTTTCAAAGAAAAAATCTGAAGAACTAGAAATTAATTTGGGGTGGCCTAAGACATTTTTTAACTTTACATGCCAGATATCAATACATGTTTGTCCTTATGCGAATCACATCATACATATTCAATGAAACTCAACTAATTATTACCAGATAAAATCAATCCCCTTTCTCCTACTAAGGTATCATATTGATTTGGAAATCGGTTTATGACTGAATCATGAAGTTTGGCAACTCTAGCAGCTTCATACACTTCTTCAGCAGTTTTTTCTAGATCACCATACTGAATATTACTGAACACAGTATCATGGAATAAAATGCAGTCCTAAAACACATGATCACATTTAAAAAAGACATGACAATGATTACTACTCTAAAACGTAAAGTAGAAGTACTGTGAATTAATATATTTTCGTGAGTATCCAATTTTTCATGGATTGATGGAAAATTGTATTTTTCACGGATATCAAATTTCGTGGTTATGCCAAAATCTGCAAATAAGCCTTTTGAACATTTAAAATTTGTGGTTTATCTTTACCTAGCGATGAAAATTGGTATCCCACGAATAAAAATAAATCCACAGTACACAGATCTCCAATATCGAAACTACTGTACTTTGTGATACTTATGTTTAGTACATTGAAGTGTCATCATCCAATTGGTAATTTATGTATGAAGATCGGCCAGTGCATGATCTGCTTAATATGTAATACCCTGTCTTTCATTATGTATATCTTAATGCTTCATAAGTAGTTGATGAATTGATGATTCAATGAAAGATACCTTGCCATCAAATGACCAAAGGATGAATTAATGAATGTTAGGAAAATAAAATTTTTTATTTTGAATTGACCGAAATTCTCTTTGAATAATAAAGTTTGGGGAAAAGAATTTTCCAATAACTGCATCTTAGATAAAATATATCAATAATTGTAATAAGCATTATTACCTGTGGTACCACACCAATAGCTTTACGTAGACTATGTAAATCCACATCGTCAATGGATTGGTTGTTGATATGTATAGTTCCTTGCTGTGGATCAAAGAAACGAAACAACAAACGGACGATGGTGGATTTTCTGTAAAGAAATAGGATTTCATAAACAAAACTATAAAACTGAAATAACAATGTCTTTAGTTTACTCTGCACTTGTATTTTAGGAGTATAATCAGAGGAAATAATGATATTTGTATGTGCATGAATCTCCTCTGTTAACATTTTTTTCTAAATATCTACGATTCTGTTGTTAAATTAGTATAAATGTTGTTTTGTGTATCTTCAGATTGATAAATTGCCATTTACTTTATTCCCAGTGTTGGGGCCTCAGTGGCCAAGTGGTCTAAGTAGTTGAACTACTATATCACTAGCTTGTCAACACTGAGGTTGTGGGTTCGAATCCTGAACTGGGCAGGTGCACACCACTCCAATCTTAATTGACTAGGATTGTCAGTTTTCCTACCGAAGGTCCGTGGTTCTCTCCGGCTTCCTCCACCAATAAAAACTGACCACCATGAAATAGCACAATAGTGTTGAAAGAGGCGTTAAACACCAATCAATCATATTCCCAGTGTTAACAAATCCACAAAAATTGGTATCACAAGAATAATAAAAGAACAGAGTTGCAATGTTCCCCGCGTTGCACATATTTGATATTTCCAAGGGACATAATTCTTTTAAAAAAAGTTGATCGTCCACAATTATATAACTTGTCCGAGATATTGCTGATATTAATCTATAGTATAAGTTTTATAAAAATCTGGCAAGAATTGTACCTGTGAGAGCGCTAACAAGACCGGACGGACACACGGATGCCCAGTATTTCCATGTCCCCCGCAACACGTTACGCGGGGGACAATAACAAATCCCTAGTATATGGTGATATAAATCAATTGTTATTGAACTCTACCTTACCCAGATCCACTACCTCCAACTATGGCAACTTTCTTCCCTGAGGGTACATCAAATGATAAACCATTCAGAATGTTTTGTCCTGGCAGATACTCAAAATGTACATCCTTAAAACTAATCGCTGATTCTGATGGTGTTGCTATTAAGACAGGAGCATTTAATTTATTCTGAAAATGTTATGTACATGTAAAAAAGTAAATTTATATGTTTTCATGTAAACAAACAATTCTCCTCGTTACTAACATTTTAAAAAATTTCTTTTAATTTTTGTGACTTTTTTTAGTGTTGTAAGAATGAGATGTATTTGAAATATCATAAATGCATATTTGTATTATACAATTGATAACTAGAAACTTTTTTTATTGTGAAAGTCTGTAAACTCTTGTCTGTATAGAGGTTTAAGAAACGAAGGCTTAAGAAGTTAACAATATCCTTTAACTCTACGTTCCGCTATATAGATGATGTTCTCTCACTAAATAATACAAAATTTGGTGACTATGTTGAACAAATCTATCCCATCTAACTAGAGATAAAGGATACTACAGATACAGTTAAGTCTGCCTCATATCTTGACTTACATCTAGAAATTGACAATGAGGGTCGGTTGAAAACAAAACTTTATGACAAAAGAGATGATTTCAGCTTCCCAATTGTGAACTTTCCATTTCTATGTAGCAACATTCCAGCAGCGCCTGCATACGGAGTATATATCTCCCAATTGATACGATATTCCCGGGATTGTGTTTCCTATCACGATTTCCTTGATAGAGGATTGCTGCTCACAAGGAAGCTATTAAACCAAGAGTTCCAAATGGTGAATTTGAAATCATCCCTTCGTAAATTTTACGGACGCCATCACGAGTTGGTTGACCGTTATGGAATAACCGTTTCACAGATGATATCGGATATGTTCCTTATGTCGTAACTACAATATCCTCCCTTTTCAAGAATGTGACTTACCGAATTAGACTATTTACCGGATTTGTAATAACATAAGCAACACGACGGGTGCCACATGTGGAGCAGGATCTGCTTACCCTTCTGGAGCACCTGAGATCACCCCCAGATTTTGGTGGGGTTCGTGTTGCTTAGTCTTTGGTTTTCTATGTTGTGTCATCTGTACTATTATTAGTCTGTTTGTCTTTTTATTTTTGGCCATGGCGTTGTCAGTTTGTTTTCGATCTATGAGTTTGACTGTCCATCTGGTATCTTTCGTCCCTCTTTTATGAAAGCACTCAACTCAAATATAAATGAATATGAGATAATGAATTTAAAACGGCATATATCTATGACCCGCTATTTATATTTCATTTCGTTTTTGTAAATAAAATTGAAATATTCATGGGCAAAGAATAAATTGCAAAATAGTGAAAGTCACATCTACTTAGTCTGTTGCGGGTTTCCTTTGTTAAAATTGAGAGGAAGGAGAAAAGGTCTTTTAATATAATGGGGAAACAGGAGACCACTAAAATTGAAAGATGGACAATAAAATGAGGGGCAAGAAAATAGACAGGTGAAAAAGATGGAATGGGAGAAAGATATAAAAATGTCCGCGTTATAAATAGAACGGTATAGTGATTATTCCTGGGATTCTTATTTTTGTGGATTTCATGGGAACAGTTAAATAACAAACTTTAATGTTCACTGAAGTACACATTTTTTATGTCCTTGTATGTAGTCTTCTGTAAAACCAAAAAATCAAATATCCACGAAAATTGGTACCAACGAAAATAAATGAATCTACAGTAATTCATATTGATACACTATTAAATATTATCATTATCAATACACACTCTACTTACTTTAATTTTTGGTTGTATATCCATCAATGCAAACATATTTTCCATATCTACAAATCCTTGATTAAGATCTCTATACGTTGACCCTAGAAAGTTCAGTGGTACAGTTAACTGAATAAGTAGTCCATTAACCATCACTAAATCTCCTATGGTCATAGTACCTGTTAATAAAAGGAAAACAAAATAAGTTTTTTGTCAAATATCAAAGGTTTAAATCTTGAATTAAAATCTTTTCTAGAAAATGTCCGAAATGTTGACACATGCAAAATATGACTGTAAAATATGAAATTGTGAAGTCGTAACTTATATCATCTTTCTTTCTTATACGGTTTTTCCTTACCAAATTCACATAGAAATGACTACTGTGGATTCATTTATTCTTGTGGGTATACATTTTCGTGGATTGAGAAAACTCGTTGAATATCTAAATTCGTGGTTTACCTATACCCAGGAAATATTTGTATTCTATTGATAACTAGATATCATTGAGATGAGAGCCATCTCTGTGGGCCCCGCTGTGAATAATGTGTGGTAAAAAATTTGTATCTTTATCATTGGACATGGGGTTGTCAACTGAAACCAGAGTTTTTGACCTTGACCTAAGACCTAGGAAGTTGTACATAAATTATGACACACCCTCTGGTGTTGGTTTATATACATGTCAAGTATAAACTTTGAATTCCTAACGGTTCACAAGATATAGAGCAGACACTATTTTTACCATAGGACATGGGGTTGTCAACTAAAACCAGTTTTTGACCTTGACCTTTGACCTAGGAAGTTGTACATACATTATGACACACCCTCTGGTGATGGTTAATATACATGTCAAGTATAAACTTTGAAATCATAACGGTTCTCTAGATATAGAGAGGACACAATTTGTTACGGACAGACAGATGGACAGACGGACGGACAGACTGATCACTATAGGGCATCCGCCATTCAGCGGGGCCCTAATTAATCCACAGTATTTGAATTTTGTATCATAGTGAAGACTAACCTTCAAGAATTTGTTGAGCTGCCATAACCATAACGATTGATGATCCCACGCTGAAAATTGCATTCTGTCCAAAATTTAACAAGGATAATGTTTTAGTTATCTGCAGTGATGCTTTTTCAAATCGTTCAAGAGTCTCTTCATGCTTCTTAGCTTCAAATTTTTCATTGGTAAAATACTGAAAAAAATAAAATACAATACAATACATACTGGTTGACAAGGTAATCCAAATAAAAGAACATTTTCCAATTAAACTATGCCTTTAACGTAAGAAATATTTGTAAAAAATTACAAGAGTGCACACGCTAAAATGTCTTGACCATTTTACTGACCATTGATTTTATGTTGAAAGTCTTCAAGATAAAGGTTTAACTACAAGTATCTAATAAACTTAACATTTGTAAAAATCCATGACAATGAGGTCAAGGTCAGATAAATCCTGTTAGATATGTTCACCTTACAATTATTCTATACACAAAATATAGTTGACCTATGTGTTTTCTAATACAATGCTTTTAACAAGTTATTATGACGTAAACCTACCTTAACTGTGGTATAATTTACCAAGTTATTATGACGTAAACCTACCTTAACTGTGGTATAATTTACCAAGGAATCATTAGCTATATTACCAGCATCTTGGTCAGCTTTGTTTTTCTGTTTTCGAATTTTTGTTCTAAAATACATAATATTCAGATATATGTCTTGCCTGTTTATAATTTGATAGTAAAATGCAAATGCTGAAATTAAAATAGCAATATGTTATTTAACATGTAAATTATGCAAAATACTCAAAGTCCATGAACCATGACTGAAGGAAAAGGGCCATATAATTATATGAGATATGCCCATGCTAATACTGCAAATGAAACATTGGCTTATCATGAATTGTTTCCCTCGAACTGACCTTATCACAAACTTTATCATGTAAACTATGCAAAAGTTTTAAAATAGACCATGACTGAAAATGTGGGGCAAAATTATTTCCATGAAAAATGAGATGTGCCAATGCTTATACAACTGCATACCAACTATCATTGACTTCTCATCAGTGGTTTCCCTCAAACTGACCTAATCACAATCTTTAGCATGTAAAATATGCAAAAGTTTGAAAGTCAAAAGAACATGACTGAGGGGACAAGGTCAAATAATCTCCATGGAAATGAAATGTGGCAATATTTACTATATGGTATGGATTTCCCTCATTGATGAAAACTGTATGGTGACCTATAATTACTTACAACTACATCATTTGGTCTCTGGTGGATAGTTGTTTCATTGGCAATCATACCAGATCTTCTTATTTTTATATTGTTCTATATCAAGAACCTCTTCAGTGTTTGTGTTTAATTAAGACTTATTAGTGGGTTTTTTTGCCAAAATATTTGGTGTTAATGTCTTTGGTAATCTCTCTTGAAATATTCACAACTATTCTAGACCTAGGATAAACAAGGGTCTACTACATGGAGGGTCCTTCACTTCTTTCCTGTTTAACTTTTAGACCATTTTCTCTGTTCTTTATTCTCTTTGCCCATTATTCTCTATTCTTTATAATTAAGCACACAATTATTTTCTTTTCTTTATTTTTTTGCCTATTTCCCTCTATTCTGTATTTTCCTCCCTTTATTCTACACTTTTTTCCCATTAATCTCTATTTTTTAAACCTCATCCAGACCCTCATTTAATAACTTGAGCTTGCCATATGCTATTTTGTTTAAGACTATATGATGGAATCGAGATGTTTTTCTAGCTTTATTGTGTTTCAGGGTTGACATCATACTAAACATATCCCCACATCTTTTTTTTTTATTTTCATACAAAAAATGTGTTGACCAGATGAATTTTGTAGGTGACCTTACCTATATTCTGTCATTCTGAAGGTAAATACTATATAACAACCCACACAACCAAGTGTTACTGCAACAAATCCACTTCCAAACTTGTAACCCTAATAAAGAGAAAAATACTTCTGTTTGTCATTTGCTACTGTGAAAATTTTTACAAAATTCAAAGTATTGCAATTTTTATTTACTAGCATTTGTAAATGTTTCAAGTATATTTATTCTATAAATTGGCAAAATAAGAAGCCTGAAACAGTAAAGAAACAATTATGCTACCATATCATCGTAATGTAATCACACTTTTTGGACATAAGCAATAAGCCCACATGCTTTTAAATGAAAACAATTGTACAAAATGCAGATCTCTTTTGGTAAATCTTTGTACTATAAGTAGAATATGCATTCAGATCCATATATCTGCTACATCTATATGTTAATCTTGGTAATAAGTTTCCAAGTACATCATTACATGTATATTTCTCTTTAACTGAATAAAATGAGTGAAAATAATTTTGAAAAAAAAAGATTCCTTACATCAAATGAAGTAGTATTCAGATTTTATCATCCTATGAATCTGTATTTTAGACAATAAAATAAGCAACAAGCTGATCTGATGTAGAAGATTTAAAAAAAAATAATTTCCAGTAAATTGTGCTTTAAATTTTGACAAAGTTTTATAAAATAAAGGATGACCATGGGCCACAAGTGATGGCAATTGCTATAAACATAGACTTGTTCAGGACAGGATTACTTATAAATTTGTAGTATATATTTAAGTTTTATGAATACACATACCAGGATACCTGTCACTAAGCCAACCTCCAAGAACGTTGGGAAAATTCTAAATACAACTCCTTTGAGTACAGGTTCTATGGCCCTGAAAAAAAATCAAACAAACTGGTATAAACTATTTATCCTACCGATTTGCCCAAGCTAGATTCAAACTTCAGAATATGAAAATCAGGAGGTTATTCTCTCTTCACTGCATGGTTATTTAAAACAGTACCCAGAAAAATTGCATGAAGATTGAAAGTTGTTTATGTTCTTAGCTTAGCGCATACAAACATAAAACTTGCCTTTATTATGCATAATAAGTAACTCAGACAGAAGACGGATGAGAAGATCCACACTTACAGCCTCAATAATCATTTTTTTTCTTAAATATGATCATCCTTTCCTAGAACCACGATCAATAGCTTAGGTTAATTCTCCATTCTTTTTATAAATCTGATCATTCCTACCTAGAACCAGGGCTTCCAAAAAATATTTGAGCCAGCCGGACATTTTATGTCTTATCCCAATTTTAATCCCTTAAGACTTAGTAACAAAAGGCAATTATGGTAATCAGTTGACCATCATATAACCAATGATTGACATTAAAAAAACGATATTAAACTTTACTTTGATATAAATTTGATGTTCTGACATAAACTGTTAAATTGACAGTGCATCATTCAAAGTGTGCAACATCAGCGTACTAATATCTGCCTTAGACTCTTTATATTGTGCAACATCAGCATATTAATATCTGCCTTAGACTCTTTATATTGTGCAAAATAACATTGTCAAAAACTTTACTTTCGTTTTTAAAAAGCACATTTTCCTAATACCGGATGTTGACTTGACAATGGTAAAACATGGACCAGAGACGGATACGTAAAATCTGTGTACATTTACAAAGCACGAACAGGTAAATTTCAGCTGTCTGACAACTAATTGACCTTGATGAAAATGAGAAGGTATTAATGTAGGGTTTGTTTTAATAGTACTTATTCATCATGTCACTTTTATGACCGGAAAAGTGTGGCTGTTTAAAGCAAAAGGTTGGGTCAAAAAGATCACATAAACTTCCAATTTGTTTTTGAATTATGTTAAAATGACCGTCTCTTAAGAAAGCCTTGAAAACTAAAAGTAGATGTCCGTTTCATGCTTTTCCCAGACAGACAATGTCCAGTAAATTTATAAATGTACGAAATATATGACCGTTTTGGAAGCCATGCCTAGAACTAAGATCAATAGCTTTAGTTTATTCTCCTTTCATTTTTTAAATCTGATCATTCCTACCTTGAACCACAATCAATAGCTTAAGTTATTTCTCATTATAAATCTGATCATTCTTACCTTGAACCACGATCAATAGCTTTAGTTAATTCTCCTTTCTTTTTTGAAAGATGGTAAGACAGGTCTAAAGAGTGAAGATGAACAAAAATATTTTGTGCTATTCGTCTTATAGTGTTCTCTGCTACTTCAGCAAATGCAAAGTCCTGCATTTCCTTCATAAATGATGCTGTCAGTCTCACAAGGCCATCTGTAATGTAAATTATCATGGTTGTGGTTTTAAAAACATAATTAATTGATTCATTGATTAACAGTATATATATTCTCCTTTTCTCTACATTTATCGAATTAACTAAAGTAAGAGAACGGAAACGAAAAATTCAGCAATTTTTCTATCTGTAAAGGGGCATAACTCTAGAACGGTAAAAGTGACGCCACCAAAATTCAAACTTGATCTGTGTTTTGTGGTAATAAGCATTGTGTATAAGTTTCAAAACATTTGGTTGAGGCAAACTAAAGTTAGAGAACGGAAACGAAAAATTCAGCAATTTTTCCATTTGTAAAGGGCATAACTCTAGAACGGTAAAAGTGATGCCACCAAAATTCAAACTTGACCTGTGTTTTGTATTAATAAGCATTGTGTATAAGTTTCATAACATTTGGTTGAGGCAAACTAAAGTTAGAGAACGGAAACCAATTTTGGGACGTATAGACGGACAAGGGTAAAACTTAATGCCCCCTCCGCTACGGTGGGGGCATAATAACAAAAAAAAAATGGTGAGGAACTAAATATTTTAATTTCTTGATAATTTTTTTCATAAAGTTATCTTATAACTCTGTCAAGCAAGAGCAACGTTAACGTAAATAAGTAGATTCAAGATTTTAACCGGTACAATTTTGTGGGAAAGTTTATAGTTTAATGCTTTCTATACATGACTAAATCATCGGAAAACAGTTAACTTTCCCCCAAAATTGCATATTTCATTTTATTTCTTTTGGTTGCTCATAACTGAATGAGTACCAGGATGTCCTACCACAGAGTAGGTTACCTGTCGAAAAATTATAGAACCCTGAGTAAAAAGTCGGTAATATGAAAATGGTATATTGCTCAGCAAAATAAAATTGATAAAATAAACCTCTGAACCATAGTAATACTTACAGCCTATTAACAGAGCTGTTGACAAACTTAGTATAGCAGTTGGTGTGTCTTTTAAATTCAGAGTATCCCCCGATGCCTCATTCAAATAATCAACTGCCCATTTAAATATAAATGGTACCATAACACTGACAATCTGAAAAGAATCACCACAAACTTTCTTAATCAAAATAGTTTCATTCATCAAATGCATTCTTTCATATGTTTCTGAATACTGCACAGATATCTAAATATTATTAAAAAAAATAAAAAATAACAGTACCATTGTTGAGAATTTTCTGAGTGTCAATGTCACAAGGCAAGTACACATACATATCATGTCTACCTAACCATATTATCTTACACATTCATTTGAAAATAGGGCTCAATGACCAAAATGGCGGGATTTTCTTGCTGTATTGAAGACCCATTGATGGCCTTGGGCTGTTTTCTGCTCTTTGGTCGCGTATGACACATTTCCAATTTCCATTCTCAATTTTCAGCTTGCATATAATTTTTCTTAAACCATGGAGAATGGTCTATAATGAGCATCTAAAAATATGGAAATATTAAATAATTATTTTTTTAATCTTTAAAAATACTATTTAGGGAGGTGCACAACTTCAATCGGTGTGAATTTTTTTTAAATTGTGAAATTTTAAAAATAGATCAGAACAAGCTATCCTTTAGAGTACATACACTGGATTAATTGTATAGTTTCTAATTACCTTTGATCCAATCAATAGACTTAATGCAATTACCACTCTAACTTTAATTTTCACATTATTTTTCGGCCAGACATAACGCATCATTTTCTTCAACATCCGCACATTTTTTGCTCCTAAGAGAGTCTTTGTCCTTCTCCATCTTGAATTGTCTTTACTGCCACTATCCTTAATCACATTTGACAGTCTCGATGTTGTGTTAAATTGTCTTTTATCTCTACATAACTACAACAGAAATAAATACAAATGCAATTTTTGGTAGTTAAGAGTTCAAACATTTTTTTTAGCAGGACATCGTCAAAGACTTCATTATTCAGATTTAATCTTATCTTATTAATCTTTCTGTAATTTACGTGAGAAAACAATCAATAACATTAAATTCCAATGCATACATGCATGCAAATGTACATTGCATATATACAAAGAAATTAATAAGAAACTATATATGCTTCCCTCAATGTCAAGCAAAGTCGACATTATCTGAATTTTGCTATTTTGTTTAAGTCCTTATTGGTCATAATGTTACGGTGTATTTATGCATCCCTGGTTTTCAGATGTTTAAGTATGTGTGTTCAGATGAACATATACACAATAAATGCAAACAATTTTGAAGTGTTCATTTCATTTAACATTTTGGGTATTCAATATCCATATAACACAGAATTATTTGTATGCGGAATAATTTTGAATTCTGGAAAATTACTTAAAAGAAATTTATGAAAACTAACCCAACTAAGCTTGGTTATCTATGTGCAAATGGCTAAGGTTCATTTCACTTTCACTCATATAATATTTCAGTATGAACTAACTAACACTCCTCAGCCATACATGCATGGCTAACCCTCCTTAATTAGATTAGTTTTCATCATACATTTCTTATCAATTTTCCAGAATTCAAAATTATTCCAGATTCAAATAATTCTTTGTTTTTTCATTAATTTCAAGTATTCAGTTTAAAAACACTTACACTTTTATTTAACCTGTTTGACAGTCTTGATAAGAGATTCCATTTTGGTAAATCTTTCCTAGCCTGGGTAAGATGACCTTTGTACTGAAAATAAAATCATTCTTTTTTAGTAAAATGTATGTAAACAAAATGTGTGAGTCTTCCAAGAAATGTGTGTGTTGCCACCCACCTACAAAAAATATAAGCAGAAGTGGCTATTATGATTATTGTCATTTTGTCCTTTCAGCAGATCTTAATTGGAAATGAAGAACTTTAAACTTATAAGGGTCAAATCAACTTTAGATAAGGGGTGAGTCAACTTGGGTGGAAACGACATCAAACCAAGAAGAAAAGGAAAACAAAAAAGTCTAGTGCAGTCCAGTGCACATTCAGTCAGGGGTAATGCTTATATACAAGTCATTTTTATCTACTTGAAGATGTAAGTAATATTTGCTCGTATAAGTACATTTGTAAAGTAATTTATTTTCAAGGTTTGAATTATCTCCCCTTAAGGTATAATACCACCATTGTTTTTCCCCTATTAGTCTTTGATAAATATGCACTTTTCAAAAAATTGTGCAGAATTTATCTTTGTTTCAAATAAAAAAATACTTGGCATGAGTAAAGTTTTATCCTGTCCAGTACTACAGACAAAACATAACATTTCATTGCATATAAGATAATAACCATCATCAGATCACTGGAAGTTAACCAATCAAATTTTCACCCCTTTTTTTCCTGTGTACAAGTTTAAGTAACTATGTAACCTCAAGTTTCCAAAATATTCTATAGAAACACCAATTGAAAAAAGAATGCTCCTTTGAAGTATACACCCAAGATATATGTTTATGACTCAGAAATTTTTTACTGCAATGAAATGTAGGATTAATTTCCTACAACTGTCAAATTCAATGGAATATTTTTTTTCAATCCTTTTTCATATGCAACCAGATGTGACGTACTATGATTTGGTGGTATTACACCTAATTATTCTCCAAACTTTACTTGCAAGTAATTTTTTTTTACAACCTTTAAATTCTCATTTTTTGGGATGTCAAAACATGCCTAAACTTTTCTGGATTTTGAGATCAACTTTTTAGCTCATCTGGCCCAAAAGATTTACATAATACATGTTAATTCCTAAATAACACTAAATCTTTTCTTTCATTTTTTTAAAAAAAATATTGAAATAAGTTTTAATATATAGGGCAAGCTAGCGCAATTACCAGTTGGTAAGCCTTCCACCAAAACAAATAACTGTAACTGTTTGCAATAATTTGGCAAAGTGCTGTTCATCATGTCATACCCGTGTGTGCATTTTGACCAGCTAGTCAGACCAAGACAACATGCTCTCCAATGTGAGGATTGTGAGAAATGGTAACACAGTACATAATATATACTACAAAATCATATTTATGTTATAACTATGAAATAATACTTGTTTTATTGTTATATTTTATGTTATAACAACAATGGAATAAATACTTAAAAGTATGGAGGATACAGTGGTATGGCCGATCTATTTATTTTAATCAATTAGATAGAACTAAGGCCAAACACTTTCCTTGTCCTTTGTTAATTTATTATGGGTACATGTATTTTTTCACTGCAAATGCATCGCCCAATTTTATCCTATGAGCATGATAAGGTGAGGTTTGAAAATGTATTGAAATTTTAGGATTAAAATTTCATACATTATCATATATGGAAATACAGCCATATTGTGTATTATTGTCTTTGTTTATTAAATATGAAACTGTTTTATGAATCTTGGTTATTTGTAACATTGCTTGGCGCAATCGTCACCTCTTGTCATTTCTAGAATTCTGATAACTGTCATTAGTTGAATTGATTGGTTCTTGGTATTGTCAGTATGCTGTCTGAAGACTTGAAAAGCACAGGCTCTATACAGCAAAGCAAATTGGGATAAGAAGAGGGAATATATAAATAACATTAAAAATGAAATTGTAACAATGCCAACCAGCAATAGTAACATCAACGACATATGGATAGTATTAAAACAAGTTTAGAGAAAAGCGTCAATTTGAATATCCCACACAAACAGGCAAGAACCAAGGACAGCCCACCATGGATATCCAGAGATGTCAAACGACTCATCCGAAAGAGAGATCGGCTGTATAAGAAAAAGAAGAAATCTCATGACAAAAAAGACTCTTGAGAAATACAAAACAATCAAGCGCCAGGTACAACAAGGTCTGAGGAGGTCATACTGGAAGTATGTGGAATCTATTGTAACACCATCAGAAGATAACATCATCGAAAATCGTGGCTGTATGAAGAGATTCTGGACATTCATAAAGCACAAAAGAAGTGACGGAAATGAAGTCTCACCACTGGAAAAAGATGGTCTACTGCATTCAGATCCTTTAGATAAAGCAAATATACTTAACCAACAGTTCCAGTCTGCTTTTTCTGAAAGAACAAGCTTTTCAAACCAGGAATTCCAAGATAGATGTGGATCTTCAAACAAAAATTATCCATCTATGCCAGAAGTTAACATCACAGATAATGGAATACTGAAAATACTAAAAAATCTAAATCCACACAAGGCAGCTGGTCCAGACCAAATTACATCTAAGGTTCTAAACAAACTAGCCACCGAAATAGCACCAATATTCAGTATCATCTTTCAAAAGTCATATGAATCTGGTGAATTACCAATAGACTGGAAATTGGCCAATGTCTGTCCTATCTTCAAAAAAGGTCAAAAGTTCAAAGCAGAAAACTAACGTCCAGTATCTTTAACGTGTATAGCCTACAAAATCATGGAACATATAATTACCAGCAACATCATGTCCCACTCAGACAAACATAATATCCTACATCCTATGCAGCATGGATTCCGCAAAAAATTATCATGTGAAACTCAACTCATCGAGTTCATAGATGATATAACACAAAACCTAGATGAAGGAAAGCAAACAGATTGCTTAATCATGGACTTCTCAAAGGCTTTTGACAAAGTAAGCCATTCACTTCTGATATATAAACTAAGGCAATACGGGATTGAAGGTAGAACCAACAAATGGACACACATGATGGAATCTCAGTTTCCTAAATGGGAGACAACAGTCAGTAGTGGTTGAAGGAGTAAGCTCTGGTCTCATTGATGTTGAATCAGGTGTACCATAGGATTCAGTCCTAGGTCCCGCTCTTTTCCTCTACAACATCAATGATATGCCAGAGGGAGTTCGATCTAGAACAAAATTGTTTGCCGACAACACTATCATTTACCTCACAATAACAACAGATGCAGATACCACAACAATTCAAGAGGACCTGAATATAATTATCAGACTGGGAACATCAATGGCTCATGAAGTTCAACGCAGACAAATGCAATGTCATGACTATCGGCAAGAAAAGAAATCCCATCACCAAAGATTACATCCTACACAGCCATGTACTGGAGAGAGTATCATCTGTAAAATATCTTGGAGTTACCATCAGCTCAGATTTAAGGAAAATGTCATTCTACCCAAAGTCCATACGGGAATGGAATGCCTTATCACTTTCCACTATCACCGCCCCGAGTCTTGAATGCTTCAAGGCTCAGCCAACAAAATAGACAAAAACACTGTTTTTAAAGAGCACCTGTATATATGATTTTAACTTTCACAAAACTGTATATATTTCAATTTTCTTTGGACTTCATGCGCAACACAGTGGCAGAATAATCAGACAGTTGATAGAGGCCACTTAATTGGAAGAAGAAGAAGAAGGCTGAACCCTCTCTACCAGTAACATAAATGGTTGAACTACAATGTAACGGAGTTATAATAATTTCATGAGACAAAATATGAATGAAACATCCGTTAACTTTACATGCTTTACATTATTACAAAAAAATCGTATACAATTATGAAATACAATTCATATATATCTTCATTTTTATTCCTTAAAATTTTTTTTATATTGGGGCCGATACGGGACTTGGGGCCTTTATGTCATGTCCCTTGGCCTTGGCAAAATGCTACTTACAAGGAGTTTTGACCATGTTATTTTCTCACATCTTAGGAGTTTTTGGTTGTTTTGAAGAATACAGCTTGAAGAAGACCTCTTAAAGATGCATGCTAATTCGTTTGAACCACTGTGAAGATGATTCACATATAAAAGTCTGGTCAATGCCATAATGACACATGCCTATCGCAAGAATAACAAAGTCAGTTCTGTCCCTTGAGCACTTCCGTTTTCAATTTGTTCTAGGAATTAGTCCGCTTATATCTTTCCAGGAAGAAGATTTTTATGGTTTAAATCAGGATACTCTCAGGGAGAAAACTCTACAAATAGATAAAAAACAGTTGTTGAACTATTTACTATATGAATAACCCCATCTCGCAATTCTTATATTGGATGTTCTTATGAACTATATTCTCGTGTATATTAATTTTCATTTGTGACGTGTCAAACAAAAATATTGCGGGGATTGTGAAAGTAGACAAAAGCGAAAAAATGGTAGAACCAGATTTGATACAAGATTCCTTGCCACATACTAATTATACAGACTCAGAACTTGGTGCTAACTTCAAGAAGTTGAGAATCACGGACAACGTCAGAGAACTGCAGACTGTTTTGAGAGACAAGTGCGCACGTGGTTTCTATACTGATAATTATTTTTTTTTATCGTCAGGTTGCTGTCTTGTTGGTACATTATACACTACTATTATTTATATCGAATGCCCTTCTGGATACGTATTCAAAATTGTGAATCTTAACCAGATCAGGAAAGCAGCTCTTCATAATTTCAGAAAGAAAAAATAATTTACACTTTCTAATTTCTAGTGAATGCTACATGTATATTACTCACATAAATACAGGTCTTATTAAGTTTTGTCATTAGGGTTTATTTTCATGAAATTAGAGTAATGCATCAACATATTTTTTTAAGGGGAGCCAGTCACTTTACATGCTTTATGTGATGTGGAAATTAACTTTTATTGATATTGTGCAGTCTGGAAAAAAATTTTCAGCAACAGCTGTCAGATAACTGCTTAAAGTTTTATTTATTTTTATACGACCGCAAAAAAATTTTGTGGTCGTATATTGGTATGACGTTGGCGTCGTCGTCGTCCGAAGACACATTGGTTTTCGCACTCTAACTTTAGTTTAAGTGAATGGATCTTTTTGAAATTTTACCATAAGGTTAAATACCACAAAAGGAAGGTTGGGATTGATTTTGGGGGTTATGGTACCAACAGTTAAGGAATTAGGGGCCAAAAAGGGGCCAAAAATAAGCATTTTCTAGTTTCCAGACAATAACTGTGGAACGGTGTATGGATCTCTCTGAAATTATACTACAAGTTTCCATACCACAAAGGGATGGTTAGGATTTGCTTTGGGGGGGTTATGGCTCAAACCGTTTAGGAATTAAGGGCAAAAAAGGGGGAAAAACAAGGTTGTCCTGGTTAATGGACAAATACTTTAGTACAAAACATAATTTAAAGCAGTGTAAGGGAGATAAATCAAATACATCATTGAAATTATCTCCCTTACACTGCTTTTAAATTATGTATAAAGTAATGGTTAATGAACAATAAAGATAATTTAAAACAGTGTAAGGGAGGTAATCCAAATACAACGTTTTGGTTACTTCCCTTACACTGCTTTTAAATTATTTTTAAAGAAATGCATATTTTTAAAGGAAGACCAGTAAAAATATCTGCAAATGTTGCATCATTTTTTTTTACAAAAAAATCCATATGAAAGGTTTGACACTATATTTTTAATTCTATTATAAAATAGATTAAGGTAGCACTATGGTAAATTTAAATGGGTAATTATGGTTGCCAACTCCATTGGAAATTTGAATTGAGATTATCACCATATCTTGAGGGAAAGAATTTTTTTGGGGAAAAAAGGAGGGGGGGGGATAAAAAGAAATTGTGGGGGGTCAATTTTTTCTCATTTCAGATTTCAGAAATTAAAAAGAATTAATCTCCAAATATTATTTTTTTTTCAAATTTCAAATATTGAAAAATTTCAAGTAGTAATCTTTAATTGCACAGTATGGCGCATTAGATTTGTTAAATCTTTGATCACATTTATTTATTTGTTATGCCGAATCTAACAGTGAATTTAGATTTTTAATTTTGGGTCCAGTTTTCAAAATAGTCTACATTAAGGTCCAAAGGGTCCAAAATTAAACTTTGTTTGATTTTAGCAAAAATTGAATATATGAGGTTCTTTGATATGCTTAATCTAAACATGTATTTAGATTTTTGATTTTTGGCCCAGTTTTCAATGAAAGTTGGTCCAAATTGGGGTCCAAAATTAAACTTTGTTTGATTTCAACAAAAATTGAATATATGGGGTTCTTTGATATGCTGAATCTAACCGTGTATTTAGATTTTTTATTTGTGGACCCCGTTATCAAATTGGTTCATATTGAGGTCAAAAGGGTCCAAAATTAAACTTTGTTTGATTTCATCAAAAATTGAATTATTGTGGCTATTTGATATTCCAAATCTAACCGTGTATTTAGATTTTTAATTTTGGGTCCTGTTTTTGTCGAGCCTGCGACTTTTGTCGCAGAAAGCTCGACATAGGGATAGTGATCTGCGGCGGCGGCGGCTACGGCGGCGGCGGCGTTAGCTAACTTCTTAAAAGCTTTATATTTTAGAAGGTGGAAGGTCTGGATGCTTCATACTTTGTATATGGATGCCTCATGTTACGAAGTTTCCGTCAGTCACATGTCCAATGTCCTTGACCTCATTTTCATGGTTCAGTGACTACTTGAAAAAAAAGTTAAGATTTTTTGTAATGTTAGATTCTCTCTTATTATAAGTAATAGGATAACTATATTTGGTATGTGCGTACCTTGCAAGGTCCTCATGCCCGTCAGACAGTTTTCACTTGACCTCAACCTCATTTCATGGATCAATGAACTAGGTTAAGTTTTGGTGGTCAAGTCCATATCTCAGATACTATAAGCAATAGGTCTAGTATATTTGGTGTATGGAAGGACTGTAAGGTGTACATGTCCAACTAGCAGGTGTCATCTGACCTTGACCTCATTTTCATGGTTCAGTGGTTATAGTTAAGTTTTTGTGTTTTGGTCTGTTTTTCTTATACTGTATGCCATAGGTCTACTATATTTGGTGTATGGAATGATTGTAAGGTGTACATGTCTAGCGGGCAGGTGTCATCTGACCTTGACCTCATTTTCATGGTTCAGTGGTCAAAGTTAAGTTTTTGAGTTTTGGTCTTTTTTTCTAATACTATATGCAATAGTTCAACTATATTTGGTGTATGGAAATATTTTATGATCTATTTGGCAGTCACGCAGGTTTTATTTGACCTTGACCTCATTTTCAAGGTTCATTGCTCAGTGTTAAGTTTTTGTGTTTTGGTCTGTTTTTCTTAAACTATAAGCAAAAGGTCAACTATATTTGTTGTATGGAAGAATTGTTAGCTGTACATGCCTGCCTAGCATGGTTCATCTGACCTTGACCTCATTTTCATGGTTCACTGGTCAATGTTTAGTTTACTTGGTTAATGTTAAGTTTATGTGACAGTTGTAATAAAGCTTTATATTTAGGACTATCAACATAATATCAATGATTAGTAAAGAAGGCGAGACATTTCAGCGTGTGCACTCTTGTTTAAATTGGTCTACATTAAGGTCCAAATGGTCCAAAATTAAACTTAGTTTGATTTTAACAAAAATTGAATTCTTGGGGTTCTTTGATATGCTGAATCTAAACATGTGTTTAGATTTTTGATTATGGGCCCAGTTTTCAAGTTGGTCCAAGATAGGGTCCAGTATTTAAACTTTGTTTGATTTCAACAAAAATTGAATATGTGGGGTTCTTTGATATCCTGAATCTAAACTTGTATTTAGATTTTTGATTATGGGCCCAGTTTTCAAGTTGGTCCAAATTGGGGTCCAAAATTAAACTTTGTTTGATTTCAACAAAAGTTGAATATATGAGGTTCTTTGATATGCTGAATCTAACCATGTATTTAGATTTTTTATTTGTAGGCCCCGCTATCAAATTGGTTCATATTGAGGTCAAAAGGGTCCAAAATTAAACTTTGTTTGATTCATCAAAAATTGAATTATTGGGGTTCTTTGATATGCCAAATCTAACCGTGTTTTTAGATGTTTAATTTGGGTCCCGTTTTTTAAATTGGTCTTCATTGAGGTCCAAAGGGTCCAAAATTAAACTTAGTTTGATTTTAACAAAAATTGAATTCTTGGGGTTCTTTGATATGCTGAATCTAAACATGTGTTTAGATTTTTGATTATGGGCCCAGTTTTCAAGTTTGTCCAAGTTGGGGTCCAAAATTAAACTTTTTTTGATTTCAACAAAAATTGAATATATGGGGTTCTTTGATATGCTGAATCTAACCATGAATTTAGATTTTTTATTTGTGGGCCCCGCTATCAAATTGGTTCATATTGAGGTCAAAAGGGTCCAAAATTAAACTTTGTTTGATTTCATCAAAAATTGAATTATTGGGGTTCTTTGATATTCCAAATCTAACCATGTATATAGATTTTTAATTTTAAGTCCCGTTTTTTAAATTGGTCTACATTAAGGTCCAAAGGGTCCAAAATTAAACTTAGTTTGATTTTAGCAAAAATTGAATTCTTGGGGTTCTTTGATGTGCTGAATCTAAACATGTGTTTAGATTTTTGATTATGGGCCCAGTTTTCAAGTTTGTCCAAGTTGGGTCCAAAATTAAACTTTGTTTGATTTTAACAAAAATTGAATATATGGGGTTCTTTGATATGCTGAATCTAACCATGTATTTTGATTTTGGACATTGGACCATAATAGGTAAATTAAAAAAAATCAAGTTCTTAGACCACATTCTTTCTGTGTCAGAAACATATGCTGTTTCAAATATTTAATAACAATCCAAATTCAGAGCTGTATCAAGCTTAAATGTTGTGTCCATACTTGCCCCAACTGTTCAGGGTTCGACCTCTGCGGTCGTATCAAGCTGCGCCCCAGCGAAGCATTTTATTAAGAATTTGTTTTGTTAATCATCATTCTTGTAGTACAACTCTGATAAATGTCCACTATCATATGGTCAATCTAATCACAGTCATTTGAATTTCTTCCATAAATGGTGAAAAAAGAGTATATATATAATAAACCCCTGATGATCAGTCAGGTGTGTAAAAGATTATTACGTTAAACAAATAGCAGATTAAGTTTTGTAGTTTATACATCATTTGCAATGCTATAAAAAGAAAGAAGACATTTGTAATGAAGCATTTCGTTTTGATATTTATCAGTAAATATTGGATTTCAATTAGAATTGCTAATTAATATGGATTATGTAAATTATAAAGAGTTTTTGAAAAGAAATTAAGGCGCCCTCTACAATATCAAGATAAATCCTGGCTATTTTGCAAATATTGCTTATCTGTAATCACAGCTTAAATCTCTACAAACTATTCAACTGCATGTCGAAATATATTTATCAAACCAATAGTATAAGTTTTGCTCATATAAAACAAAAAATTAACCCAACAGATGCGTAGTTCTTTTGAAAAGGTGGAAAATTAATATTGGCTATAGTTTAATTATTTTGTTGGCCTCACTTTTACTGTTCTAGAGTTTGCCTCAACCAAATGTTATGAAACTTATACACAATGCTTATTACCACAAAACTCGGATCAAGTACAAATTTGGTTGGTGTCACTTTTACCGTTCTTGAGTTATGTCCCTTTATAAGGTTATATGCAAGCAGGGGCATCATCAGTGTCCCATGGACACATTCCCCATTTATTTACATATTAAATAGTAATCAGTGCTAGATCATGTAGATATGGCCATGCAAAAATGATTGTGTGTTTCCCCTAATCCTGCTGGGTCTGTTTTTACCCCCTTCCTAAGTCAATTCTTTTTTAAAGCAATTGCTTTTATGCCATCGCATATGGCCATCTTTGTGACGCAAATCAGAGACTCCGCCCAGATCAAGCCATAGTATTTTGTTAAACAGGCTCCTGGTCTGTCATTCTTAAACACCTATGTATGTTTTCTAATACAATACATAGCTTGAAACTTTTGAAAAACGTTAGTGGATTTAAGAGGTTTCAGCATATGCTCTTGTAGATGTATTTTTGTATTTAGGGGGACAATCGTTTGACTATCAAAAAACATAGAAGTCCGAGTGAAAAAAAGTGCATTTTTATACCTGCGATTCCGTTCTCCTTATGACGATGTTTCAGCAAAATATGGAATCATTTCAGTTGTTGATTTAGTATTGAAAATTTTACTGAATTATCTCTTATTAAATACGGTTTTATATGTTTAATGGTGTTTCTCTAAGAAAGAGGCCAGGTGCTCTTGTTCATTCATAAAATTATCGTTCATTCATAAATTTATCGTAAAATCAAAATCACTACACAGTTTATACAGTCAGGGGACTTATTGAAACAAGTGATTTTTAAATCACTTATTTAAGTAGCAAATTCAAAGTTTTGTCACAAATTGTGAATTTGTAGTTTTACCAAAATTTTAAACACAAAGGTTTAGATAGTATCTTTTCATTAGTAAAATTGAAAAAAATGAACTTTTTGCTTCTTTTAAGCAGCAAGGTTTATGTCTATGATGCAAATTCTATTTTAGTTGAAGAAATGCTATAAAAATGGCTTTACACAATGAACTAATACTTTCTTAACAGATTTTTCCTGTAAAATTCAAGGTTTCATCTTATAGATTATGTAATAAAATTCTACTGCTCGCGATCAAAATTTCACTGTTCGGGGGTGTTGAAATTTGTGGGGGTTATTAAAATAATGATACTTAAAGAAGTGATTTTTTGGAAGGAAATTGAGGTATGATACTTAAACAAGTGATTTTTATGTCATTATCCTAGATTTAGTACAAGGTCATCACCTGACATGACCTGGTCATCCTATCAACACACATTGACACAGATGTTGGTTCTGATAATTTAAGCAACATAATTAGTCCCTGTATCATTAATATTCTATATTTAAAGCTACAATAAAATTAAATCACTTAGTCTGGTGATTAATTTGTACTACTGAAATAGGTGATTATTAAATAAAGACAACTCTTACTTCTAACCTTTATGGACATAATGTTACTTGAATCAGTGATTTAGAAAATCACTCATTTAAGTAAGTCTCCTGACTGTTATACGTAGTGTCAAATGATTACCTGTAATCTAAAAATAGATAAACTTAACTGACCTATTTTGTTGATTTGTTTGCGCAAATAATTTAGCGGAACGAAACCCATGTTAAAAACACATAACAATAAGTTCGTTTTCCTTTTTTGTTATAACTCCGTAAGATTTATCGATCACCTTACTAATGAAATGGACCCATCAAAACGTGATAGATGCCAAGTCCAGATGAAAAGATATTAAAATTTGGAATTTTCTAGTTTCATAGATTGAAAAAAAGTACGTCCTTTTGGATATCATAATCAAAACTGGGTATGCATGACAAATGATGAAACCATTATCCTCGTCTTCCCAGTGGACGAGTCTACTACGTGTGTTGACACTCGACGGTGCACCGTGTTTTGCAATTTTATTTCACATGTTTTCGAAATGTTGAAGATCATTTTTCGCAATGTTTCCTGAAAATTGATAAATATCAAAGCAACGAAGAGCTGTTTGTTCTTGTTCGTATAATGACGATTTAATGTCATGTTTGTCTGTGATGACCCCCCTTTTCGGGATTGCATGAGAATTATAGTTATCTCGTACGCATGAGGATGACACATATCAACTGAGCAATAATGTTTGGGACTTAGTTTTAAGAAATGAAGACAAAGTAACATTATGAAAATATTTTTAGTAAGCTGAAATATATATTTATTTTTTACATGTTTATGTCTTGTAAGATATTTTATTTATTTCCCGTTTTTCAACATTTGCGTCTGGAAAGTTGGAATGTTTTAATTGAATGGTTAAATTTAAATTAATTATGATAATTGTTAAAATTAAATCAATTAAGGAAATTATTGCCCAGTTACAAACACTACCAGGGGATAATTTCTTTTTGAGTTATATGTTTCAGCACATGTAAATTTGACCCCAACTTTAGCCTGGTAAACGTGTTGTCTCCTTGTGAAATATAAAACATATTAAAAATGACTTTCTGCTAAAGTCTTTTATTGATATAAAGTTAAAACCTTCTTACTTCTCACTAGACAACACTCCTGTCAGGTTTAATTCTTATATATATGTGGATGAAAAATAAAAGTCCCCAAAACATTAACATGGCAGCAATTGCTTTTACAGCCTTTAAGGCTTTGATTTTCTTTTGCAGATGAAAAACAAATTTTGCACTGGTTTTATTTGACAATTTTCAATGATGCTTTTTAATCTGTTAAAATTGTCTGATAACCCCTTAAAAGTGTGTCAACATTACTCAATTAACATTCCTTTAGTTTCACATAGCTCATACCACAATGTAGAATGTAAAACAAGAATTTAGTGTCAGGTTAACAGCAATATTTTCTGTCGAGCTTGAAACTGATTTTTAACAAAAAATAAAATTAAATTTAAAGTTTTTCCTGCATGCTGGACCTTAAAAATTTTCACATGTTAGGGCATGTAGGGGAAACCAACATTCATTTTTCCATGGCATATATTGTAGTTGGTAGTTTCTGACAAGTAGAACACATATAATTGTAATAAAAATAAATGACAATTTAAGACATATACACTGAGACACTTCAACTTAAAAATGAAAAAAAAAATCATGCAAGTGGGATCCTTGGATTTTTAGAAGTTTAATTACAGATTTATTTGATTTGATTGATGGAAAATTGGAAGAAGTCAATTTGGTCATATATGACATTTTCATTAAAACTTGAAATACGGCCTATCTAATGTAGAACTTTCTATAAACCAGGAGCATCCATTAATTATTTCTTACTTATACATGTATGCACGTGTCAATTCCAATTTTGTAAACATGGTAAAAGTTGATTTATCTTTATATTTCAGAACCACATCAAGAGGAGACTTTATCTTCTATGCAGACAGATTAGTGAGTAAAATATGATATAAATTTAAATTTGAATAAGAAATAAAAAGATGGCTACATGCCATACAGTAGTGTGATCTTAATCCTGTCTTTTTCAAAAGGAGAAACATAATATTAACATTGTTTCAGGTAGGGTGAAGGTTGGCGCCTATTAAAATGCACTGCATTTGTTTGCACCTGTCCTAAGTCACGAACCTGATGTTCAGTGGTTGTCGTTTGTTGATTTGGTTCATAAGTGTTTCTCGTTTCTCGTTTTTCATTTAGATTAGACCGTTGGTTTTACACTAGTCATTTTGTGAGCCCTTTATAGCTTGCTGTTCGGTGTGAGCCAAGGTTCCGTGTTGAAGGCCATACTTTGACCTATAATGGTTTACTTTTTCAAATTTTGACTTTGATGGAGAGTTGTCTCATTGGCACTCATACCACATCTTATATCTATTGAACTTGTTGAATTACCACATTTTGTATTTAATATGCTACATGTACATATACAAAAATGTAAAAGACAAAAAAGCAAAATGATTTTGCATGCAAAATTTAGATTTTTAACTCTTTTATCTGCAAATATACGACTCGAAGACACTTAATAATGTTCTAATGTTCTTGTCATTTACTAATTTTAATTCACTTTTATGCGCGTGGATATTCTTCTTTGGAGTGATTGGTTTAAATTGGATTTGAATGAAATTTGGTATAGAAATGTAAAATGGGCTTCTCATGATATATACATTTTTTTTGTAGTTTTTCAACTTTGCCATGTTTACATATGAGGGAGGGGGGGGGCTGTGGATTTGGTAGAAGCAAGTGGATAATCCTGGAAACAGCAACCTAAATATTGATTGTTTGTACTAAAAAATAGGAATAATCTGAGTTACATGTACATTGTACTATATACATGTATATGTAAAAGTTCAGTCAGAATTTATGTTTTGTGCTGAGTTTCTCCCTAGATGATCTACATTTTTTGTAACATACAGATGTTTCGAGTTGTTTAATTATTACTCCTTGAATGTACAGAACTATTTATTTTGTAAAATGAATAAGAAGATTTGGTTATAAGTCCAGGAGACCATAACGTTGAGTACCTTGTATATTCATTATCTATTTATTTAGATTAGATTAGTTGTTGAAGAAGGATTGAACCAACTACCATACAGACACTGTGATGTGACAACACCTACAGGTGAGACTCGTTGAAAGCTTACTTGATTGTTTGTAGTGTTTAAACCTCAATACATTTATCATGTTTATCCCATTATATAATTTGTGGAAGAAAATGTAGTCCTCAGTAAAAGTTTTAACATTAAACCAACAGTGCAAGACCTTCATGTGTTGTCAATTTTGTTATAAACACCCCAGAATTAGTTGTCTTTGCAGCTGACACAGTTTCGTAGCAGTATAATTAGGATTAGTGATCTGTCAGTTAAATGCAAACTTCCTTCTAAAATTATTTTTTTAATGACGATTTTAAGATATTATTTTTAGCTGTGGGAGTGTGTCAATATGGCTCATATCACCTTGTAGATGTCATCTTTAAGGTGCAGTGACATTGAAGCTTCCTATTTATATACACAACATTATAATTTATAGGTCATAAGTATGAAGGCTTGAGCTACCAAAGGGGAAACTGTGGAGTTAGCATAATGAGAAGTGGTAAGTACAAAGGCATGGGGTACCAGATGAGGAAATTAAAAACAAGTAAGGACCCTTGTCGTTTAATTGGCAGAAGGCCTATAGAGATCAGCTTGTTTGTCCGTCCATGCACCTGTCTCTACGTCCATTCGTCACAAATTGTTTCTGCCCTAACTTTAAAACCCCTTGGAATTATGGGATAAAACCTAGCTTGATTATTCACCAATACTTAACATGCTAGAAAGTGTATTGTGTACATCGAAGAAAACTGCATTTTTGTCCATGATCCTGGGTAAAAATATTTATTTCAACTTAGAAACCGCTTTGCATATACATGGAACATTCCTCATTGCATCATATTTTTTCTATATGCTGCAGACCCTCTGACACATCAATATTCTCTAGTTTGATTGAAAGTGTTAAGTACAAGGTTTGGGTTGCCAAAGGGTTGAATTAGTTTAATGAGTTTCATAATGAGAAGTGGAAAGTGCAAGACTTGAGTTTACAAGAGAGGTAAATGTGTAATTAGTATAATTATGAAAAGTGCTAAATTTTAAGTGTCTGAATGATACTAAGCTACATGTGTACTTGTTAGTACAATGTACTGCAAATGATTAAAATACTTGTGTTTTGAGTATATGTACTTACTTTATATTTATTATAACTACCCTAAAGCACGGGGGGTCTCAACCTACAAATTTGGGTACAGATGTCTGGCTGGGGTTTGAACCCCCTCCATTCATATATTAACACTTATTTTATTTGAGTAAAATTGTAATTTTTTTTATCGATATAGTTGCTTGTTTGTCTTGGGGAACATTATGACTCTTATTTTGTTCAGGTAAAATTGTGAATTTCTTTTATCAGTCTTGTTGCTTATTTGCAGGAGAGGCGATGGAACAAGGTTTAAGAGATTGTTGTAGGTCCATACGAATAGGAAAAATCCTAATACAAAAAGATGAAGATACTCGGGAAGCTAAAGTTGTGTATGCCAAACTACCGCCAGACATAGACCAACGTAAAGTCTTATTGATGTATCCTATTATGAGTAAGTAATGGATAGATATATGGGATAAAGTGGTATGTTGTGGAATTTAAATTTGACTGTCATTCTGACAAACTTTTCATTGAAATATTTATTTGTTGCCATCAGAACCTCAGGTGATATTGAAAATATTGAAATGGTGGGTCAAGATTTTATTTTTAGGTTTTGTAATGATGGTATACTTAGATCCACAAATATAAATGGAGAACAAGTCATTTAAAGGAACTTGTAAGTTACCAAGAGCTCTATAACACATTCAAGAATCTAAGAACTACTGTAAATTAAGAAATTAATGCATGCATTTATTATTGCAATTTTTGAAGAATGGACAAAAATGCGAGATTAATTATTGCGATTTCAGGAAAATCTGCATACAGATATATGTATCAGATTTCAGAATGTGGGTTCTTATAATTGCGATCTTCACCCCGTTGCATTATTCGCATTAATTAAAACCTCGCAATAATTTCTGAATTTACAGTAATCATGTACAAGTGATGCTGTGGATTCATTTATTTACACGGGTATCAAATTTTATGGGTTTAGGAAAAAATGTATTTTTGTGGTTTTGCAAAAGTTTGTATACAATAAATTAAGCCTATAGGCAATTACATTTTATTTATACTTCGTTGAACATTCAAATTCATGGTTCCCATATATATACCCACAAAATCTACGAAAATTGATACCCAACGATTTATTATGAATCCACAGTAAATGTAGATAAATTGTTTCATTGCAGATTCAGGGAACACGGTTATAAAAGCTGTCCAGGTTTTGAAAGATCATTATGTGAAAGAAGACAATATTATCTTGCTGAATCTCTTTGTTACTCCACAAGGTATGATTATGACTCTTTAGAATTGGTGTTACCTTGCTGTCATAAAAATTACAAGCATAATTATCATACTCAGACTCAGAATTCATCCAATCAAAATACTGGATTTAATTTTCATAGCACAAATTCTGAGTACAGAGTAAAATTATATGACTGAGAGCCAAGATCATTATCATCTTCTGTAGGACTTTGATGCTAGATATGATTTTATTGTGCAAGACCTTTTGCTTGCCACAAGTATTCATTCAGTGACACAATGTGTAACAAATAACTACATGAGACACTCTTTTAACTTGGGAATTGGGGAAATCCAGAAATCAATTGGGATTAAAAATTTGTTTGCTGTATTCGTTTTCATTCTATGACAATTAAATGAGTGCAGTTTATTGCTAGCTTGAATGTGCTGAACATATGGAAAAATGAAATTTTTGCGTATTGATTCATGACACAAAATTCCTGCACATACTTGAAAAACCAATATCAAAGGGACACAACTTTTATCATGTATTTGCTGTTCTTCATCTCAAAGTCTTAGGCTTTATACATGGAACAAATGCTAAAAACCTGTTGAGATATTGAAAATTAAGAAAAGAATGCAATATGATAAAAGGATTTGCAGAAGTTAGTTATTTGTTTTTAAAAGGATTTATGCTTTAAATTAAGGAGATGTGGTAATATTGTCAATGATACAATTACCCACCAGATACCCAAGGACCAAAATGTAAACAACTGTATGGTACTGTATATCTTTCAACAATGAGGAAAAATCCATACTGTATTGTAAGCTATAAAAAAGTCGGCATGACAAAATGTAAAACAATTCAAATGAGTGACCGACAGCCTAATATATTGTTAAAACAACAAATAAACAGTGTTGCAGCATGATCGTTTTTACAGGGTGGTCCACTCCCCCTTTCCCGACTGCCGCCCTGTGCCGTTTTTCTGACGCCCTGCCCTTTTTGGCATGTCCATGCCTTTATTGTCGTAATATTTTGATGAAAATACTATAATTCTACCTGTCTTCATGTTTCTGACAAGTTTATGACCATCAGCTAATTAACATTAACAGCAGGTGTTATAAGTTGTGATTACAGGTAATCCGTTATTTAAACATCATAATTGACCATTATAATTATTTTTCCAAGCAAAATCTGTCAATCGGCATTTCAATTTCAATATTTCTAAAACGACCACAATTTGCAGTTCGTTTATCCATAGATGTTTTTGTAGTTTCATCAATTGAACAAAATTGTTTTTCCCCGGAGGGTTCTCATTTTAATTTCAAAATTTCTCAAACGATCACTTATTGCAACTTGGATGACATATTTCGTCATTTGAACGTATTTTCGTCACATTTTATATAATTTTTCATTAAAAGCTTTTGAATTATGTATAAAGTAATGGTTAATGAACAATTAAGACAATTTAAAACAGTGTAAGGGAGGTAATCCAAATACAACGTTTTGATTACTTCCCTTACACTGCTTTTAAATTATGTTTAAAGAAATGCATATTTATAATGGCAGACCAGTAAAAATATCTGCAAATGTTGCATCTTTTTTTTTTTACAACAAAATCCATATGAAAGATTTGACACCACATAAATTCTATTATAAAATAGATGAAGTTAGCACTATGGTAAATTTAAATGGGTAATTATGGTTGCAAATAACGTTGGAAATTTGAATTGAGATTATGACCATATCTGGAGGGAAAGACTTTTTGGGGGGAAAAAGGGGAGGGAAAGAAATTGTGGGGGGTCAATTTTTTCTCATTTCAGATTTCAGAAATTAAAAAGAATTATTCTTCAAATATTATTTTTTTTTCAAATTTCAAATATTGAAAAACTTCAAGAAGTAATCTTTAATTGCACAGTATGGTGCATTAGATTTGTAAAATCTTTGACCACATTTATTTATTTGTTATGCCGAATCTGACCCTGTATTTAGATTTTTAATTTTGGGTCCAGTTTTCAAATTGGTCTACATTAAGGTCCAAAATTAAACTTAGTTTGATTTTAACAAAAATTGAATATATGGGGTTCTTTGATATGCTGAATCTAACCATGTATTTTGATTTTTGGGCCCAGTTTTCAAGTTGGTCCAAATTGGGTCCAAAATTAAACTTTGTTTGATTTCAACAAAAATTGAATACATGGGGGTTCTTTGATATGCTGAATCTAACCATGTATTTTGATTTTTGGGCCCCGTTATCAAATTGGTCCACATTGAGGTCAAAAGGGTCTAAAATTTAATATTGTTTGATTTCATCAAAAATTGAATTCTTTGAATTCTTTGATATGCTGAATCTAACCATGCATTTAGATTTTGGATATTGGACCATAATAGGTAAATTAAAAAATTTAAGTTCTTAGACCACATTCATTCCGTGTCAGAAACCTATGCTGTACCAAATATTTAATCACAATCCAAATTCAGAGCTGTATCAAGCTTGAATGTTGTGGCCATACTTGCCCCAACTGTTCAGGGTTCGACCTCTGCGGTCGTATCAAGCTGCGCCCAGCGTATATACAAGTCTTAATTCAAAACAACGTTCAAACCTATATATATATATATATATGTTCCAGATTGCTCTAAAAAATAAATTGTTTTGACTTTTGTACTGCAGATTAAAAACAGCAGATTTTAATCCTCATTTGTGATTGCCATTACAAAACAATGCATTCTGAAAACTTGTACAATAGATTTTGAAAACATGAACAATATATTTTGATTTGTGTTACCGTATTGCAACTACCACACCAATAGCTGGTAGTAGGATATGAAATATCCTGAAATAAGGTATTTATATGCAATGCTATCATAACTATGACAACACACACAGAACTGAAACAGAAAAAAAAATGAATAAATTTTAATGTTATTAAATTGACATGAATAAAAAGGAATACTGTGAATACAATTATCAACTCACTATAAACATAATATTTGTTTTTTCAGCTGCCAAAGCCTTAGTGAAAAGATTTCCAAACATGAAAGTACTGACATCAGAGGTACATCCTGTCACTCCAAATCACTTCGGAATGAAATATTTTGGAACAGACTGAAAAAACAAAAAATACTCTTTGGCGATTTATTTTACTATCAAGTGTGTATGGCTTGTGATTCCAGACTTACTACATCAACAATACAGGTCATTTGAAGGTTATCAATCTGATATTATCAACATCCCCATACATATATAACAAGGTATTGATTGTACAAACCATTGAGGTGTGTGAAAATTCTAAAAATTGTTCAGGCATGAATATATGATTGAATTTGATCGTTTTATGCAGAATGAAGTGAACATATTCAGTAGAATGGTTGTGTAATATATTCTTAAGGATGTAGTCATGTCAGGTTTAGGAATTTTTGATAGATGTTCAGACTCCTTGGGTTTTTTCCTAAAATACAGGGTAAAATATTTTGCCCCATATCACCCACTTTTCTTTTCATAGATGACTTCAATATCTCATAAAAGGGTCATTACCAAAATTTAAGCAGATTCTATTTTTATCTTACGATTTTAGACCCAAATAATGCAAATGCTAAATATAAGGTAAAAATCTGAGTCAGCCTTTTCCCGCCATTTTAAAAAAATCAAATATCTCAAAAAGGACTTCCGTAACCTATCAGTATTTTAAGCTTATTTGATCTTAAACAGTGTTTTTTTGACTTATAGTATCAATTTTAAATTCTAGAGTTCTAACTACATCCTTAACTGAAAGAAGAAAAATTCAGATTTCCCAACCTGTACATGAAATATATTTTTCTCCTCCCATCTTTGTAAGAAAATCTTTCCTGTATTCTGGATACATTTATTTTTCGTGTGTACCAATTTTCATGGATTGAGGAAAAATTGTATTTTCGTGGATATATGAATTTGTGGTTTTCAAAAGTCTGCATAAACACCTATAGAAAATTTGTACTTCATTGAACATTTAAATTAGTGGTTCACATTTACTCATGAGGTCCACAAAAATTGGTATCCCATGAATAATAATGAATCCCCAGTATTACTTCTCCAGTATATGGAGCAGCAGACGACAAGACATTTTAAATTTAAGGTTGTGTTCTAAATTTGTACCATGCCCAATTTTTCTGGTTCATTTTTATGATTGCATTAATGTGTAATAGAAATGCCTCAGTATACATGTATCTGCTGTATGATTTATGATGAGTGCAATTTTGATATGAATATTTATGCTGTGTTGTTTATGAAGGAATGAATAGCTTTGTATGAATTTTTTCAGTTGTATACACTACAATAATTTATTTTTTTTCAAAGGGCATCCACAAATGAATCATTAAGTGTTACCCTTGTCAGTCTGTACGTGCGTACATCCCAAAATTAGTTTCCATTCTCTATTTTTAGTTTGACTCAGCCAAATGTTATGAAACTTATACACGATGCTTATTATCACAAAACTCAGATCAAGGGCACATGGACACATTCTCCATTTAACGTGTTTTAAATTTGAAAATATTGCAAGATTGAGCCACATATACTCTATGAGTAAACTAAATATCAGTTGTAACTTGCTTGTATTCAATTCCTATAACATGAGGGTTTAATGTACATAATTTATAATTTGTGCAATATGATATAACAAAAACTCTCCAAGAGTGTTATTTTTCCTTATTCAAATAATAAAATGCTTTGTCAACAGATGTTTCTCAGTAGCCATGCAGAGCTAATAAAAAAATGTTTTTTCTATAAAATCTCACCATTAAATATTTCAACAAGTTGTAGTAAGTAGTAAAGTAATGTTCAGAGACTCTTTTTCTTAGTCGTGTCAGTGTTGCAGACAGGGTACAAACTAAAAACTTAAAATGGTACAAAGGAGTAGGTTTGATAAGTGACTAAAATGACTCCTATTTTTAGCTACAATTTCAAATTATGATTTATTGACAATTATCACAATGAATCATAGCTAATACAATAACTAGATAGGAAATATGTCTTGTGCTCAAAATTTTACATAATGCATACTTACATACGAATGGCACTCATTTTGATTTTTTACGAGCAGGTTAATTTCCATTGATTTTTTGGACAGGAAACAGAGCGCATATGTTGACAAAACAGATCTTTTAACATAATGTTTGTTATAATATGTTAATATCTGACTTGAATATTTAGTTTGTCAAAGCCTGTCCTTTATGTTCCTTGGCCTTAATTAGGTTGAAATCTGGATGATTTTGTAAAATTTCACAAAAATCTCTACTTATGGCCGATTTGCGTTGTGTTATTTTATAAGAAAAGCTCAACAAAAAAGTTCCATTTCACTGTCTTACATGTCTTTTCATCAACCTGAAACATGTTTTAACTTTAAAAGTATGGATTTAATATTCAGGGCCAAATATAGCCCTACCGAACTTACTCCTTTTGTTAATAATTTGATTTATAAGATGTGCAATTTAATTTTTGATCTGTGGTGAAGGATTGTTCACCAACAAAGGAACACAACTTTGTACTTGTTATCTGTTTACAGTTTTCTATTGTTATTTTTTATGCTAATTTACAATAATATCCCGTTATAAGGGATACATTTTAAAAGGGTATACACGTAGATGTAGTTTGTATGAAATGTATATGATTGTATTACATGTAGGATCTTTATACATAATGTATAATACCATGTAAGATCAGTGTATGAACTATGCTTCTTTTACTTGTAAGTATAATTGTTTTGATGTGTCTTTAAAAAGGAAGCACTGTTTTACCTATTATAGCTTCTTTCTATATGGTATGGGCTTTGCTTATTGTCAAAGGCCTCATAGTGCCCTATAGTTGTTTACATCCTCAGCCTTTAGTCTCTGGTGGATATTTGTCTCATTGGTAATCATATTACATGTCCTTATTAAAATTAAGTATGCAGTTAATATGAACAAAGTTAGATAAAATGAAAGATTTGTGTATCTGCCAAAAATAAGATTATACAAGTGTTCTTCCTGTGCCTTTTTTTTTGTTTTTATCCCAGGACAATTCTGAAAATAATTTTTATACGACCGCAAAAAAAAATTTGTGGTCGTATATTGGTATGACGTTGGCGTCGTCGTCATCGTCGTCCGAAGACACATTGGTTTTCGCACTCTAACTTTAGTTTAAGTGAATGGATCTCTATGAAATTATACCACAAGGTTCAATACTACAAAAGGAAGGTTGGGATTGATTTTGGGGGTTATGGTACCAACAGTTAAGGAATTAGGGGCCAAAAATAAGCATTTTTGTAACTTCCAGACATAACTTGTGTGTTAGTGTATGGATCTCTCTGACATTGTACCACAAGGTTCCATATCACAAAGGGAATACTGGGATTGATTTTGGGGGTAATTGCGACAAAATTTTAGGAATTAGGGGCAAAAAAAGGGGAAAAAAACAAGCATTTTCTAGTTTCATGACAATAACTTGTGTGTAAGTGTATGGATCTTTCTGAAATTGTCCTACAAGGTTCCATATCACAAAGGGAAAGCTGGAATTGAGTTTGGGGGTAATTGCCCAAAATGTTTAGGAAAAAGGGGCCAAAAATAAGCATTTTTCTAGTTTCCAGACAATAACTTGTGTTCAAGTGTATGGATCTCTCTGAAATTGTACTGCAAGGTACCATACCTCAAAGGGAAGGCTGGGATTGATTTTTGGGGTAATTGCCCCAAAATATTTAGGAATAAGGGGCCAAAAAGGGGCAAAAAAACAAGCATTTTTCTAGTTTCAGGACAATAACTTGTGTGTAAGTGTATGGATCTTTATGAAATTGTACAACAAGGTTCCATATCACAAAGGGAAAGCTGGGTTTGAGTTTGGGGGTAATTGCCCTAAATGTTGAGGAATTTGGGGCAAAAAAGGGGCCTAAAAACAAGCATTTTTCTAGTTTCCATACAATAACTTGTGTTCAAGTGTACGATCTCTCTGAAATTGTACTGCAAGGTACCATACCATAAAAGGAAGGCTGGGATTGATTTTTTAGGTAATTGCCCCAAAATTTTAGGATTTAGGGGCCAAAAAGGGGCAAAAATCAAGCATTTTTCTAGTTTCAGGATAATAACTTGTGTGTTAGTGTATGGATCTTTATGAAATTGTACTTCAAGGTTCCATATCACAAAGGGAAAGCTGGGTTTGAGTTTGGGGGTGATGAATCATAAGGGGGTTCAAAAAATTTGGGGGAGGGATTTTTTTTTCCTTTTTTTCCTTTTTTTTTCTTTAAAATTTTCCATTTTAAATTGGTTATTTCTGATTTATATATAAAAGCAAATAATAATAATATGGTTTGAATAGGTAAATTAAAATTTTTTAAGTTCTTAGACCACATTCATTCTGTGTCAGAAACCTATGCTGTGTCAAATATTTAATCACAATCCAAATTCAGTGCTGTATCAAGCTTGAATGTTGTGTCCATACTTGCCCCAACTGTTCAGGGTTCGACCTCCGCGGTCGTATCAAGCTGCGCCCAGCGGAGCATTTTATTGGCTTATATCTCAAAAACTAAATCTTTTAGAGCAAATGTGACAGGGGTAAAATTGTTTAATTGGTCAAGATCTATCTGCCCTGAAATTTTCAGACGAATCGAACAACCCATTGTTGGGTTGCTGCCACCGAATTGGTAGTTTTAACAAAATTTTGCAGTTTTTATACGGCCACAAAAAAATTTTGCGGTTGTATATTGGTATGACGTTGGCGTCGTCGTCGTCGTCGTCGTCCGAAGACACATTGGTTTTCACACTCTAACTTTAGTTTAAATGAATGGATCTCTATGAAATTTTACCATAAGGTTCAATACCACAAAAGGAAGGTTGGGATTGATTTTGGGGGTTATGGTACCAACAGTTAAGGAATAAGGGGCCAAAAATAAGCATTTTTGTAACTTCCAGACAATAAATTGTGTGTTAGTGTATGGATCTCTCTGACATTGTACCACAAGTTTCCATATCACAAAGGGAATGCTGGGATTGACTTTGGGGGTAATTGCCTCTAAATTTAAGGAATTAGGGGCCAAAAAAGGGGCAAAAAATAAGCATTTTTCTAGTTTCATGACAATAACTTGTGTGCAATTGTATGGATCTTTCTGACATTGTACTACAAGGTTCCATATCACAAAGGAAAAGCTGGAATTGATTTTGGGGGTAATTGCCTCAAAATTTTTGGAATTAGGGGCCAAAAAAGGGGCAAAAAACAAGCATTTTTCTAGTTTCATGACAATAACTTGTGTGTAAGTGTATGGATCTTTCTGAAATTGTACTGCAAGGTTCCATATCACAAAGGGAAAGCTGGAATTGAGTTTGGGGGTAATTGCCCATAATGTTTAGGAATAAGGAGCCAAAAATAAGCATTTTTCTAGTTTCCAGACAATAACTTGTGTTCAAGTGTATGGATCTCTCTGAAATTGTACTGCAAGGTACCATACTACAAAGGGAAGGCTGGGATTGATTTTGGGTGTAATTGCCTCAAAATTTTAGGAATGAGGGGCCAAAAAAGGGGCAAAAAACAAGCATTTTTCTAGTTTCAGGACAATAACTTGTGTGTAAGTGTATGGATCTTTCTGAAATTGTACTACAAGGTTCCATATCACAAAGGGAAAGCTGGAATTGAGTTTGGGGGTAATTGCCCAAAACGTTTAGGAATAAGGGGTCAAAAAGGGGCCAAAAATAAGCATTTTTCTAGTTTCCAGACAATAACGTGTGTTCAAGTGTATGGATCTTTATGAAACTGTACTACAAGGTTCCATATCACAATGGGAATGCTGGGATTGATTTTGGGGGTAATTACCTCAAATTTTTAGGAATTAGGGGCCAAAAAAGGGGCAAAAAAACAAGCATGTTTCTAGTTTCCAGACAATAACTTGTGTTCAAGTGTATGGATCTCTCTGAAATTGTACTGCAAGGTACCATACCATAAAGGGAAGGCTTAGATTGAGTTTAGGGACGATGAATCATAAGGGGGTTCAAAAAATTTGGGGGAGGGATTTTTTTTCCCTTTTATTTTCTTTAAAATTTTCCATTTTGAATTGGTAATTTCTGATTTATATATAAAAGCAAATAATAATTATATGGTTTGAATAGGTCAATTAATAATTTATAAGTTCTTAGACCACATTCATTCTGTGTCAGAAACCTATGCTGTGTCAAATATTTAATCACAATCCAAATTCAGTGTGTATCAAGCTTGACTGTTATGTCTTACTTGCCCCAACTGTTCAGGGTTTGACCTCTGGGGTCGTATCAAGCTGCGCCCAGCGGAGCATTTTATTTCTCCTGAAATTAATTCAAACCTGACAATTTTTTTTTTCAATATATCCAATAGCATTACAATTTTGAATTTTATTCCTCAAAGTTACATTATGATGTCATCACAGACCAAACTGGAATCAATGCTGAAAATTGAATGTATAATGTTGTGTTAAGTGATCTCCCTTGGACCTGTATTGAATGCCTTATATATGTAAAAATGTATTTAATTGCTTTATGTTTTATATAATTTTACTTGAATTGATAGATTGATGAAATTAACAATCTAAAATTCTTCTACTTATGAAAAATGGATTCGAAGTAAATGAACAGTTTGAAATAAAGGTGTTTCCTGTTGTAAATGAACATGACTAGTATAGACTTTAAAAAAGAAGAAGATGTGGTATGATTGGCAATAAGACAACTCTCCACCAGAGACTAACTGATGCAGAATTTAACAAGTTTACAACTAAAGATCACTGCAAGGACTTCAACAATGAGTAAAACCCATACCGCATAGTCAGCTATAAAAGGCCTGAAATGCAAACAACAACCACTGAATTGCAGGCTCCTGACTTGAGACAGGCACATACAGAATGTAGAGGGGTTTAACATGTATGCTGGCGCCAAACCCTTCCCCTAACCTGGGACAGAACAAAATAAGAACAAACACAAAAGACACAAAGTATAGATGTGATAGTACAGTTACTGAAAGCAAATTAAAAGCCAATAGCATCCAATAAAAATGATCATCTATCTATCATACAACTAAGATATCAATCAGTACACATCCTAAATCCAATGGATTTAGTGTCAAGACGTCATTAACAGTCGAGAGAAAAAACATGACTTGTAATTTCTGCTTCTTAAGTCGAGAGAGAGAAAAATACACCAGTTATAAGTCCCTAAAAACCATATTCAGAAAAGACAAGTTCTGTACTCCAAATTCACACAATTGCAACTTCAGATAAAATATAATCATAACAGGTAAAAAGTAAAACATGGAAATAGCTTTATAGAACATATGCAAGATTTTAAAGTAGGGGCATAGTTTTCCAGAAAAAACACCCATTACAAAAAGACATTAATTATTGGCATGTTAGTGTGGTTGCAACTGCAGAGACAAAACTAAAGTAAAAAAATCAATAGTGGCATAAATTTGCTAAAAGTTGCAAAGCTGTCATTGGTCAAGTTAGCATAATGAAGTTGCAACCTTAGTTGTAAAAGAATTTAAAAAATTTATCAGTCTGTCAGTCATCTTAAGTTTTTGGATGAAAATAAAGATAAATACTATACATTGGATTGCAACTTTACATTTATATATGGTCGAATAAAATAGAGTTCTTTTTTGATTTCGATGTTTCTACATGTAGGGTCAAGGTCAAAATAACTTAAAGATAGTTTGTGCAAGCAATGAGTTTTGGCATAATATCTAGACTTTTTAAGGTCGTTCCACCTCACATGTTTATAATTAAGGCTTTAATGAACTTTTATACAGATATGCAAAAACCTTTAAATCACAAGATTGCTATTTCCTAATAAAAAAGGTGTAGAAATAACTTTTTTTTACATTTTAGAAATATAGAGTTTGTAGTCCTTTTCTTTGAAATAACGGAGATGAACAACTGCTTCCGGTTTTTAAAAGTCAACTTGATTTTACAGATTCCAAACATATACAGTTTGTATTCATTTCCTTTTGAAATAAGAGAGAACATTGGCATTGAAATTTCCATCTGTCGTATGTCCGTAGTCATTTTCATGGTTCAGCAACTGCTTGTCATGTGAAATACTCACTTATGAGTAACAGGATACCTATATTTGGTATAAGGCTCATTAAAAGGTCCACATGTCCGTCATACAGGGTTCACCTGACCTCAACATCATTTTAGGGATCAGTGATCAAGATTAAGTTTTCGTTGTCAATATAAAAATGAGGAGATGTGGTATGATTGCCAATGAGACAACTATCCACCAAATGGCCATAATTTATATTAAAACAATATACGAAAAACAAATATGACAGACGTGATCTGAACCATCGACCACCACTGAACTATAAGCGCCAGTCTATATCTTAGATACTATAAGCAATAGGTCAGCTATTTGGTATGTGGAATTATTGTTTGGTGTACATGTCCGACTGGAAGGTTTCATATGACCTTGACCTCATTTTCATGGTTCATTGGTCAATGATAAGTTTTGATGGTAATGTCTGTCTCTAAGTTACTTTAAGACATGTGTCAACCATAGTTGATCTATGGAATGATTGTTAAGTACTGGCAGGTTTTATTTGACCTTTACCTTTATTCACGGTTCATTATACGTTTGTATGGCAAGTCGTTGTGGAATTTATTTCCTATTTATTAATATTAGTCATTTTTTTAATATCAATGAATAGGTTTTTATTATTTTTAATATTAAATATTCAATTTTTAATATGATAAATCCATTTATTAATATTAAAAAAAACAATATTTGATATTAAAAAATAGATCATAATAACATTAATAAATCTTTGAAAAATCATTTTCTAATGTTAATAAATGGTCTTATTCTTTAATATTAAAAACTCATTTTTGAATATTAATTATTACGCCATATATGTATAAGAGTTCTTTGTGTGCGCTTTTATATATGATAAGCATACGTTACTGTAAGCTTGTAGCTTAATTAGATTAGTGGAAAATAACAATAACAAAATACTCTGAAGCTTCTGCTCTTATCCTGCAATCAGCCAATTATAATAATATAATAAATTATTTTATTAAAGTGTCACGTATTGATTAATAGTTGAACAATATACAATTAAACATATGCAATATTTCAAATTATCAACACCAAGCCAAACAAATTGACTTATGAGACACTGTAAAAATATATTACAAAGTTGTAAACATATATACTTATAACCATTTAAAAATCGCATTGAACTTTTCATCCATATTCTTCTTGAAATACTGGTTAAAAACCGTGTAGGTTTAAAAATAGGTGGTTGACAGAGCATTTCCATAATAAAATTTATAGAATAATTAAAAATAATTAATAAAATAAA